CGTCCGTTTTGCGTCTTTGTGTTTATCCATGTACTGTCGGCATTCAGGGAAATTCAAGGCCGAGCTCTGCGTGTGTTTTGTGTTTACAGCCGGCCTCCATTGATTTCCTGCAGCATGAGATTCCATTAACCTTAAGCTCCGTGTGTTTCTGAAGTAATGAACGCAGTGAAGCTAATCCCATTGAAGGCGTCAGCTCAGGGTTAGAGTGAGATTACTGCAGCTTCAGATGAAAAAGGTTTAATGTTAAAGAAAAACGTCAGGATATAATTGATCCGGCTTAATCAGTGTGAAATGGCACAACAGCAGTTATTGGCCCTGCGCGTTAAATCCAACCTATTGGCTTGTGTGATCAATACCCGTAAGGCTGGTTATAGATCTGATCGATCGGGACATCCTGTGTGCGGTTAAATTAATGAAAACAGATAGATGAGATACGGCTGGCTCTGTCTTTATGTAATTTTTTACATTACCGTCAGGCCAGGCGTGGTATCAATCCAATCAGCTGTCACCATTATTTTAATATGTTTTCACCATTTGTTTGCTCTGTGCAGGGTAAAGCTTGACTGATGTGGCTCATTATTTGATTTGACTTTAAGCATATGGTTATACTTCGTATATGTGGCATATAAACAGCTGTATAAAACCATTCAATTCAGAAAAATCACATTTGTTTACATATACATGTAAGGCAAAGATAGCAGCTTATATTCACACCTCTATGATACAGGAATGGAAATGTATGATTTTTTTGTATTCCCTGATGACAGCTTGTCAGGATGGCTCAGTGTACATCAGTTAAGATGGCAAGTGTTAACACACACACACACACACACACACGTGCACATCTATAAGAACAGTGTGGGATTTAACTTTAAGCTACAAAGGAACTACAGCACGGTCACATGACTTCACGTCACCACCGCTAAGCTAAAGGTGGCTAATGTTGGACTATAAAGGAACTACAGCACGGTCACATGACTTCACGTCACCACCACTAAGGTAAAGGAGGCTAATGTTGGGCTATAAAGGAACTACAGCACGGTCACATGACTTCACCACCGCTAAGCTAACGGTGGCTAATGTTGGGCTATAAAGGAACTACAGCACGGTCACATGACTTCACGTCACCACCGCTAAGCTAAAGGCGGCTAATGTTGGGCTACAAAGGAACTACAGCACGGTCACATGACTTCACGTCACCACCGCTGAGCTATAGGCGGCTAATGTTGGACTATAAAGGAACTACAGCACGGTCACATGACTTCACGTCACCACCGCTAAGCTAAAGGTGGCTAATGTTGGGCTATAAAGGAACTACAGCACGGTCACATGACTTCACGTCACCACCGCTGAGCTATAGGCGGCTAATGTTGGGCTATAAAGGAACTACAGCACGGTCACATGACTTCACGTCACCATCGCTAAGCTAAAGGAGGCTAATGTTGGGCTATAAAGGAACTACAGCACGGTCACATGACTTCACATCACCACCGCTGAGCTATAGGCGGCTAATGTTGGACTAGAAAGGAACTACAGCACGGTCACATGAATTCACGTCACCACCGCTAAGCTAAAGGCGGCTAATGTTGGGCTATAAAGGAACTACAGCACGGTCACATGACTTCACGTCACCACCGCTAAGCTAAAGGCGGCTAATCTTGGGCTATAAAGGAACTACAGCAAAAAAAGTACTAAAATGCTGTCTAATTTTCGGATTTAGAAATCATTCCTGCTTCATTGAATGTGATTCAACTGTTCTTTGTTGTGATGGGGAGAGGAAGATCTTCACTCCACTAAGTGCACTTTTCAAATTGTTCTGTGTCATAAAAATCCTTGAAAAGCAGAACACATGTTAATATAAGAGGTTTTGGTAAAAAGATGAGCAGTGTGTGTCTTCATGTTGATCCAATCTCGTGTGTGTGTGTGTGTGTGTGTGTGTGTGTGTGTGTGTGTGTGTGTGTGTGTGTGTGTGTGTGTGTGTGTGTGTGTGTGTGTGTGTGTGTGTGTGTGTGTGTGTGTGTGTGTGTGTGTGTGTGTGTGTGTGTGTGTGTGTGTGTGTGTGTGTGTGTGTGTGTGTGTGTGTGTGTGTGTGTGTGTGTGTGTGTGTGTGTGTGTGTGTGTGTGTGTGTGTGTGTGTGTGTGTGTGTGTGTGTGTGTGTGTGTGTGTGTGTGTGTGTGTGTGTGTGTGTGTGGCCTAGCATTACTATACTTGTGGGGATCTACATCTGTTTACACAGTCACGTGTGGGGACTCGCCTCCCTTATGGGGACAAATTGGAGGTCCCCTTAAGGGGAATCATTAATGTTAGGGTGAAGACTTGGTTAGGGTAAGGGTTAGGCATGTGTTGGTTATGGTTAAGGTTAGGATAAGTCTCCAGGAAATGCATGTAAGTCAATGTAATGACCCCTGAAGTGATGTGTGTGTGGACAACAAAGCCCGAGGCATTTTAAAATCATCTCATTAAATTGCACTTATGCATCGTTCCAAATGCAAAAATAAGATCGCATAGAAAAAGCTATGAGATACAAAAAGCCTGCTCAATTTACTACATAATGGTGTGTGAGTCAGATACAGTAATGTTGGGTGTGAATCAGTGTTGAGTCCACAGGCAGATCGGAGGTGTGTCAGTGACTGCTATTCAGCTTTTAAAGGGACCCTATTGTGCTTTTTGGGGTTTTCCGTCGTGTTAAATTGGTATTTGTGCATTTAAATGGTCTGGAGAGGCTGAAATCTCAAAGATCCAGAGCTTAGTGACATCATTTTGTAACGCTTGGCTTCAATTGGCTAGCGCTCCAACACATTGTACGTGATAGAACTCTTTAAAGTAGAGAGACTACATACTGATATACACCTAAACATCAGCAGGAGAGGAATCTTTAAAGTAGAGACACTACATACTGATATACACCTGAACATCAGCAGGAGAGGACTCTTTAAAGTAGAGACACTACATACTGATATACACCTGAACATCAGCAGGAGAGGACTCTTTAAAGTAGAGACACTACATACTGATATACACCTGAACATCAGCAGGAGAGGACTCTTTAAAGTAGAGACACTACATACTGATATACACCTGAACATCAGCAGGAGAGGACTCTTTAAAGTAGAGACCCTACATACTGATATACACCAAAACATCAGCAGGAGAGGACTCTTTAAAGTAGAGACACTACATACTGATATACACCAAAACATCAGCAGGAGAGGACTCTTTAAAGTAGAGACCCTACATACTGATATACACCTGAACATCAGCAGGAGAGGACTCTTTAAAGTAGAGACACTACACACTGATATACACCTGAACATTAACAGGAGAGGACTCTTTAAAGTAGAGACACTACATACTGATATACACCTGAACATCAGCAGGAGAGGACTCTTTAAAGTAGAGACACTACATACTGATATACACCTGAACATCAGCAGGAGAGGACTCTTTAAAGTAGAGACACTACATACTGATATACACCTGAACATCAGCAGGAGAGGACTCTTTAAAGTAGAGACACTACACACTGATATACACCTGAACATTAACAGGAGAGGACTCTTTAAAGTAGAGACACTACATACTGATATACACCTGAACATCAGCAGGAGAGGACTCTTTAAAGTAGAGACACTACATACTGATATACACCTGAACATCAGCAGGAGAGGACTCTTTAAAGTAGAGACACTACATACTGATATACACCTGAACATCAGCAGGAGAGGACTCTTTAAAGTAGAGACACTACATACTGATATACACCTGAACATTAGCAGGAGAGGACTCTTTAAAGTAGAGACACTACATACTGATATACACCTGAACATCAGCAGGAGAGGACTCTTTAAAGTAGAGACACTACATACCGCTATACACCTGAACATCAGCAGGAGAGGACTCTTTAAAGTAGAGACACTACATACTGATATACACCAAAACATCAGCAGGAGTGGAATCTTTAAAGTAGAGACACTACATACTGATATACACCAAAACATCAGCAGGAGAGGACTCTTTAAAGTAGAGACACTACATACTGATATACACCTGAACATCAGCAGGAGAGGACTCTTTAAAGTAGAGACACTACATACTGATATACACCTGAACATCAGCAGGAGAGGACTCTTTAAAGTAGAGACACTACATACTGAAATACACCTGAACATCAGGAGGAGAGGACTCTTTAAAGTAGAGACACTACATACTGATATACACCTGAACATCAGCAGGAGAGGACTCTTTAAAGTAGAGACACTACATACTGATATACTACTGAACATCAGCAGGAGAGGACTCTTTAAAGTAGAGACACTACATACTGATATACACCTGAACATCAGCAGGAGAGGACTCTTTAAAGTAGAGACACTACATACTGATATACACCTGAACATCAGCAGGAGAGGACTCTTTAAAGTAGAGACACTACACACTGATATACACCTGAACATCAGCAGGAGAGGACTCTTTAAAGTAGAGACACTACATACTGATATACACCTGAACATCAGCAGGAGAGGACTCTTTAAAGTAGAGACACTACATACTGATATACACCTGAACATCAGCAGGAGAGGACTCTTTAAAGTGCACGTAATGCTAATATCAACCTGAAAATAGGCCTCTATAACACATAATTAACTGAGGCTATGGAAGATGGATGTTTCCTTTTTTACCATCTATCCTATAATTTCTCGCTTGTCGCCTCTATTCTCTCTAGCTCTTCCTCCCTCTCCTCTCATTCCACGCTCTCTCTCTCTCTCTCCTCATTTATCATCTCGGCTGAGAGGAGGCAGACAGGGATGAATGACTGAGGAAATTGAATTCCTCTTATCACCGCTGTGCTCCTGCAGTGAGCCGTGAATTTGCACGTCTGCTTCTTCCACACCTGTTTGTGCACACAGACACGGCACACAAACACAACTCTGCTGTGGATACCTGTGATTCCAGTATCTTCTTATGTTGACATGCATCTCTCTGTCTTTTTCTTTTCCAGTTGCAGAACGAGCAACAGGAAGAGTCTGATCCTGACCACCACCTCCCCCACGCTGCCTCGCCCTCACTCCCCTCTCCCCCTCCCCGGACACCTCGGTACGTGGAGTATCAACTCTAAGCTGTGACCTTTTAGCTATTCAATTACTGAGATATAGATAGATAGAATATAATAGAATAGAAATAGATAGAATATAATAGAATAGACAGAATAGATAGATAGAATAGAAATAGATAGAATATAATAGAATAGATAGATAGAATAGAAATAGATAGAATAGATAGAATAGACAGAATAGAATATAATAGAATAGACAGAATAGATAGATAGAATAGAAATAGATAGAATAGATAGAATAGACAGAATAGAAATAGATAGAATATAATAGAATAGACAGAATAGATAGATAGAATAGAAATAGATAGAATAGAAATAGATAGAATAGATAGAATAGACAGAATAGAATATAATAGAATAGACAGAATAGATAGATAGAATAGAAATAGATAGAATAGACAGAATAGAAATAGATAGAATATAATAGAATAGACAGAATAGATAGATAGAATAAGAATAGATATAATAGAATAGAAATAGATAGAATAGAAATAGTTAGGATGCCACCTGGGCGCCTCCCTAGGGAGGTGTTCCAGGCACGTCCAGCTGGGAAGAGACCAAGGGGTAGACCTAGGACCAGGTGGAGGGATTATATCTCTTCGCTGGCCTGGGAGCGCCTTGGGCTCCCCCAGTCAGAGCTGGTTGATGTCGCCAGGGAAAAGAAAGTTTGGGGCTCTCTGCTGGAACTGCTACCCCCGCGACCCGACCACGGATAAGCGGAAGAAGATGGATGGATGGATGGATGGAGAAATAGATAGAATAGAATAGATAGAATAGAATAGATAGATAGAAATTTAAATATAGATATGAAAGGCTAACTTTAAGTTTGATTCTAAAAGATTGATTGGAAAAATATATAATTTTTCTTAGAATGACAACCTGTTTCAAGTATGTACGGAAGAGAATTAGAGCCTCAAGTCAAAATATTTTTAGTTCTGAGATTAAAGTAAGAATGTCTCCAAATTCTGAGATTTTCCCCCAAAAATAGAATTCATTATTTCTCAAAATTCAGATTGTTTTACTAAAATTATTGAGTTATAATTATTTGATTATAATTTCTCTTAAAAGTAAATCGCCCTTTGGAAGTCCACCCCCTCCAAAGATGCTAAAAGGCAGCCCCTCGCTCAGGTTTTCTTTAGAGCTTTGAAATTTGAAAGTTATATCTAACATGTTCAGACGCACAGAAAAGCCTCTTGGAAGCCTGTCTTAAAACCAACAGGACGGTGGCCATTTTGAATTTGATGTGCAACTTTAGGATTGCATTTTTCATTATCTATGAAAAAAGCCCCTGATCAAATCTCGCAGCTCATCAATCAAAACACCCACATTACTGTCCAAAAGGAACAGGACACATGAAAAGCTTTGCCCTCCAAGCATTCATCGGTCAAAAAATCAATGCTAGGCCTTCAGTTCACATCAGTTTCACAGCCTTTCACCCCCCCCCCCAAACCCTACCCAATGATTATGGAAAGTCACACTGTTGTATTGAACCATTGAAGGTCTACTCTAAACTGTGCTTTGAATTAACTGCTGGATTAATCTTCTCAAATCTCCACATGTGTGTCCTGCTCTCTCTCGTGTCTCATCCTCTGTGTTACGTCTTTTTGTCCCAACAGGAAGCAGCCCTCTGGACAGCCCTCGAAACTTCTCCCCCAGCAACCCTGCACACTTCTCCTTCGCCTCCTCCAGAAGGTGACTGCTTTAAATCACTGCTGTAATGAGGTGGTTAGGACAGTTAGTCAACGATACCGAGTGTCAAGTAAGGAGGGATCTTCTTTAAGGTTTTATTACAACACAATGTGGAAACAGATGAGCATGACGGACGCATTTTTGTAAGACAGAAGTTAGCATCGCAAGGGCTCCCTTAAAAAAACAAACATTGACTAGACGAGGGAAACTGAATTGATAAATGTGAATACGTAACAATATTTAGACGGATGCTTTCATTATCAGTTAGCAGCGGTGTGGTTAATATTTTCAGAATTTTATACTGCCTTTTTAGAGAAAATCAAGTCATATATTTGATTAGAGTTGACTGATAATTAATTAGTTTTCCTAAAATCTGATGTATTTACATTAAAACACTCCTTTGACACTTATAACATTACTTTGCAAGGTACGCACAACCAAAATAATTTCCAACACTGTTTTCTGTGCTCCAAAAATATTTGTTTATTCACTGTTTCCTCGTTGGTTTGGAGCGGCACTTGAACCCTCCACACGAAGCAAAGTGAGACGAAGTGGGGTTCAGTAGTTTTTTTAATTTGCTTATACATGTTTAGTTTATTTGTTTAAAGTGTTGTGGTCAGTCCCCATCGATCAACTGCTACAAAGAACTGTAAATGGAGCAGCTTTAGCCAACATTGCTCATTTCCAGCTGTTGTCCCCGGCCAGATGATAATAGACACCTTTTTAAAATCACATCAACAGCATTAGTTATAAAGACAAGTAGATAGAGGCGAAAGGATACAAGAGAACAATGAAATGCAAACACACGTTACTACATACATGTCACATATAGCACATCACAATCACACAACAGAAACCAGGGGTCTCAACATGTATCACACACGCCATATCCAGTTTCTCAGTGAAGCATGTCAAGATGCTGATTAGACAGCATGATTATTGCACAGGTGTGCCTTAGGCTGGCCACAATAAAAGGCCACTCTGAAACGTGCAGTTTTGCTTTATTGGGGGGGTCTGGCGGGGTCCGAAAACCAGTCAGTATCTGGTGTGAGGGGTAGGGTTAGGGTAATGTTGTGAATCGTGTGGCCCATGGTGGTGGTGGGATTATGGTATGGGCAGGCGTATGTTATGGACGACGAACACAGGCCACTCGATTCACAACATTACCCTAACCCTAACCCTACCCCTCACACCAGATACTGACTGGTTTTCGGACCCCCCCAGACCCCCCCAATAAAGCAAAACTGCACGTTTCAGAGTGGCCTTTTATTGTGGCCAGCCTAAGGCACACCTGTGCAATAATCATGCTGTCTAATCAGCATCTTGATATGCCACACCTGTGAGGTGGGATGGATTATCTCGGCAAAGGAGAAGTGCTCACTATCACAGATCTTTTCAGATTTGTGAACAATATTTGAGAGAAATGGTTATTTTGTGTTTATAGAACATGTTTTAGATCTTTGAGTTCATCTCATGAAAAATGGGAGCAAAAACAAAAGTGTTGCGTTTATATTTTTGTTCAGTGTTTGTATGTCTTTGATTTGAGTGGGTAGAGAGTTCCAGCTTTGTATCACTGTGACGGAGAATGGTAACTGACCAAAAGTACTCTTCCTGAATGGGACTGATAGGTGTTAACTCCCACTTGTTTTTGTGCCTGAGCGGTGGGACAGAAAGTGAGACAGACGAGAGGAGACAGGCAGAAGTGAAGTCAGTGTGAGACACGCAGAGAATAAGTGAGCATCAGAGAGGAGGTGTTGTTGTGTTCGAGGTCTCTCACATCCTGGACAGCAGGCTCCTGCAGCTCCTCACAGTGAAACAGGCTGACTCATGTTCAACGGGCTTTACACTCACTGTGTGTCTGTGTTTACTCAAGCTGCTCTGCTGACACGGTGTGTTCGAGTGAGTGTGTGAGTGTGTGTAGACTGTTGGACATGAAAGTGCATCTGTTCCTATGAGGTGAACATTTGAGTTGTATAGTAACTGGGAATGCTCAAAAAATGTAAGAACATTATCAAAATGAATCCTTCTGTCAACCCAATACTAAAACTCAAGGCCCGGGGGCCAAATCAGGCCCTTGGTGGATTTAATTTCGGCCCGCAGGATAATTTCTAATTCCTATTAGATCTGGCCCGCCGGTATATTGCACGCACACCTTCCCTCCATCCTGAGGGTCTCCTCCGCTCAGAGCCTGAGCCCAAACATTGATGACCTTGCTCCCAAGATGAGATGCCAAGTATCTTAGCTAGCATCACAGAGCAGCACACTGAGTTTAATGGATGTTTCCTTCTGCACTTTCTCTCAGGACAACAGGGCATGTTTGGTTTTCTCTTTGAGGGGAATAGTTTTTAGAAGCTGTTGTTGGCCTGTGGAAAAATGTACTCATAAGAAATGACTCTGGAAAAGCTGCAGATAGAGCCATAAGAAATGAATAGAACTGATTATTTAATGTTTAATGTTGTTTTTATAGGCAATCATTTAAGCTTTGTTAGTTCCAGGTTTAATATGTGCAATAAGTTCATTTCAATAAGTTCTGCAATAAATATTGAACCAGTCCGGCCCTCCACTAGTACCCATTTTTTAATTTTGGCCCACTGTGTATTTGAGTTTGACCCCCCTGGTCTTCAGTACTTCATATGTTTTGTTTGTAAAAAGCTACATTTGGGAAGTAACTAGTGATTAGTTTTCATATAAATGTAGTAAAAAGTACAATATTTCCTTTTGAGACTCTGAGTAGAGTACAAGTATAAGATTGCACTGAAAAAGAATAGTCAAAGGAAGTACAAGTACCTCAAATGTTTACTTAAGTACAGTGCTTGAATAAACATACAGTCTACCCTAGTATGAATGCATAAGCAATAACTTTCACTGTCACAGGTTCTTTAGGCAGAGGGGAAAAGGACCAATCAGACCTCTCTCCCCTCAGTGTTTAGATCGTAAATCCCGTCTTCATTTATCAAAACGTCTGTCACTGCGATCGAGGCACACAGAATGAGTTATCATCCCTTTTAAGAAAAGCCCCTGGGACAAATGTTATAAGTCAATGGTCTGCTGAAAGTCATATTTCATGTGCAGCTGACATAGAGATGTGTCTACTGTTTTTACGGATCATATTAAAATGAATCCAAGAAAGCCAAGCTAATATATTCTGGATTGAATGGCAACGTGTGTGCATTCGTTTGAAAGTGTTGTTATATTTGTGTTTTCTGCAGAGCGGACGGACGGCGGTGGTCTTTAGCATCTTTGCCTTCTTCTGGATATGGCACCAACACTCCCAGCTCAACGGTAAATATCTTCACTTCCCATCACATAAATACTTGATTTCAAAACAGGGGTACTTATGCATTAATGCTGTGGACATCATCACTGTACCCTGTATGCCAAGGCAGGTCTGCCATCACTTACTGTAAAGAGGCTCAGTCATTGGTACACATTTATTTATAAAGCTTTGTTGGGTAAACTCCCGTATTACATCTGCTCTCTGATAACACAGAGAGTTGCAAGCAGCTATTGTCTGAGATCGCATGATGTAGTATTGTTATGGCGCATTTCCACTGCAGCGGGGTAGCCCCGTTTAAGCGTCCCTAAGCGTCCTCGCTCTGGCCTCGGGCTGCCTCGCTGGCCGTCCGAGGCCGTGGCGCATTTCCATTACAGTTTAGGACCTGGGGTAGCAACGCAGTGTAGGCGGGGCGATCGGCTTTGTTTTTGTTCACATTTCGAGTTGTTCCGTCGAGCTCCCGCTGGATTTGATCATCCCCAATGAGATGTAGGAACGTCGTCACCTCCTCGGTCGACCACGGTGTGCTTTTCTTATTAGAAGTAGCCATTTTTGTAGCTCCTCCGTTTACAAAATGCTGTTTATAAAAATGCTGCAAGCATGCTTCTAGATATATATGCGACGCTAGGGATGAACTCGCGCGCGATCTTGTGACGATTCTGACCAATCAGCAGTCGAGAGTGTTGACGTCACTAGTTCAGCCCTGGCCCTGGTCTGATAGAACCACGATTTTATGGGGCCGGAAAAAGAGGGAAAAAGTACCCGCTAGCCGGTACTAGGCTATATGGAAAGGCCACCAAAAACTGGCCTGGCCGCTTGAGGACGGTTAAGGACGCTTAAACGGGGCTACCCGCTGCAGTGGAAATGCGCCATTAGATGTGCCAAGAGCAAGGACAGCTTAGGTAAGACAGCTTTTATGTGCGCAGCTCCACTTGCTTGGAACAGTCTTCAGCAATAATTGAAACTGAGCAATCTCATTCCTCTGCATGTTTTTAAAGCTAGGCTAAATGAAATGCTCGTTGATACTATGGCCACTTGTAAATGTCTAACTATGTAAATGTATCCTGTAAATATAATGTATGATGTCCTTTATTGTTTTATGTTTCATGTGGAACCTATATGCTGCAGGTCTCCCTTGAAAAAGAGATCTATGATCTCAATGGGACCAATCTGGTTAAATAAAGGTTTGAAATGAAATGAAATCATCAAAAATGTACCCATGCTATGTGTGAAAAAGAAACATACCAAAACATTTGTAAATTGCTATTGGAGCCTTTCTATATTTGCAAAAAGCCGCCTTTAAACCCGAGTCCGTTGAGGATGGAAACTAGAAATCGTAGCTACAAGTAATAAACATTTTAAATTCTTAGCAACAACTAATCAAACAGTTACTATAGATTCTAAAAGTTGATATTGTTAGCTGAAAGTATTGTAAACCATTCAATTGTTAATAATAATAATACATTTTATTTATAAGCGCACTTTTCATTTGCGTTAACAAAACTCAAAGTGCTATAAAAAGGGTGAAACAAAACAACAAAAACAATTAAAACAACAGAATAAAAGCAGTGTCATTTATGCCGGCATGGCATAATGTGGGGGTTTTAAAAATCTAGTTAAAGGCTATTCTAAAAATATGTGTTTTTAGGCCTTTTTTTAAAGCATCCCCAGTCTGTGGTGTCCTCAGCTGGTTTGGGACGGCACTCCACAGTCTGTGTTGTCCTCAGCTGGTTTGGGACGGCACTCCACAGTCTGTGGTGTCCTCAGCTGGTTTGGGACGGCACTCCACAGTCTGTGGTGTCCTCAGCCGGTTTGGGACGGCACTCCCCAGTCTGTGGTGTCCTCAGCTGGTTTGGGACGGCACTCCACAGTCTGTGTTGTCCTCAGCCGGTTTGGGACGGCACTCCACAGTCTGTGGTGTCCTCAGCCGGTTTGGGACGGCACTCCACAGTCTGTGGTGTCCTCAGCTGGTTTGGGACGGCACTCCACAGTCTGTGGTGTCCTCAGCTGGTTTGGGACGGCACTCCACAGTCTGTGTTGTCCTCAGCTGGTTTGGGACGGCACTCCACAGTCTGTGGTGTCCTCAGCTGGTTTGGGACGGCACTCCACAGTCTGTGGTGTCCTCAGCTGGTTTGGGACGGCACTCCACAGTCTGTGGTGTCCTCAGCTGGTTTGGGACGGCACTCCCCAGTCTGTGGTGTCCTCAGCTGGTTTGGGACGGCACTCCCCAGTCTGTGGTGTCCTCAGCTGGTTTGGGACGGCACTCCACAGTCTGTGGTGTCCTCAGCTGGTTGTTACGGCACTCCACCAGTCTGTGGTGTCCTCAGCTGGTTGGGACGGCACTCCACAGTCTGTGGTGTCCTCAGCTGGTTTGGGACGGCACTCCCAGTCTGTGGTGTCCTCAGCTGGTTTGGGACGGCACTCCCAGTCTGTTGTGTCCTCAGCTGGTTGGGACGGCACTCCACAGTCTGTGGTGTCCTCAGCTGGTTGGGACGGCACTCCACAGTCTGTGGTGTCCTCAGCTGGTTTGGGACGGCACTCCACAGTCTGTGGTGTCCTCAGCTGGTTTGGGACGGCACTCCCCCAGTCTGTGGTGTCCTCAGCTGGTTTGGGACGGCACTCCCACAGTCTGTGGTGTCCTCAGCTGGTTTGGGAGGGCACTCCACAGTCTGTGGTGTCCTCAGCTGGTTTGGGACGGCACTCCACAGTCTGTGGTGTCCTCAGCTGGTTTGGGACAGCACTCCACAGTCTGTGGTGTCCTCAGCTGGTTTGGGACGGCACTCCACAGTCTGTGGTGTCCTCAGCCGGTTTGGGACGGCACTCCACAGTCTCGGAGCAGAAGGCTCGGTCTCCCATGGTTTTCAGTTTTGTCCTTGGTGGGAAGAGGAGGTTTGCCTTTTCAGAACGTAGGTTCCTCGTGGAGGTTTGTGGGGGTGAGCAATTCCTTGATGTAGGAGGGAGAATTTCCATATATGCACTGATGAGTGAAGAGGGTGATTTTGTAGTCAATCCTGAGTGAGACCGGGAGCCAGTGCAGTGATTTGAGGATGGGTGTGATGTGTTCGTACTTCCGTGCTCTCATCAGGATCCTAGCAGCACTGTTCTGGATGTATTGCAGCTTCTGGATGTTCTTGCTAGGAATCCCAATGAGAAGTGCGTTACAGTAGTCCAGCCTGGAGGAGACAAAGGCGTGGACAAGTTAGCTTAAAGTAGGCTAATAAAACATTAGCGAAAAAAGTTAGCTAAAAGTTACAAAGCCATATACATAGTTACTAACATAATGAAACAGTTGGAATAGTTTGCTTTATAAATAGCAGTTAAACGAGCTAAATAATTAAACCATTGAAATAGTTAGCTAAAATAATACTATGTTTTTAATAGTGGGCTAAAAGTAATAAAATGTAACTTAAAGGTAACGAACAAACAGTTGATATTGTTAGCTAAAAGTATCGAGAGAGACCCTTACAATTGTTAGCTTAAAGTATCATACCTGCCAACCGCTTTTGACATGTTTCTACCACGTACCGATTTAGCTGGCTTTCCCTACCGATTTTCAATCTTCCCAAACTATAACAAATAAAAATGACACTATAGACACTGGACTCGACTTTTGGCGGACACCGTTTGCAGCGTGTCTGTGATCGCATCATACAAACAATCCTCTGTGTTTCTGAAAGAGAAACAACGTGCAGAGGAAAGGCAGCGTTACCCCCGGGGCTGATGGGTAATCACTCCCAAATGAGTTTAAGGAGGCATTTGAGTCCTGCAGGGTTTCCCCGTTAATATCAGTGTCTCGAAAACACATGTTGGCGACTGAAAGACATCCAGTGTTTGGTCTTTTCCTGAAGCATCCTTCACCTACAGTGTCTCAACTGAAAGAGGACCACAAACACAAAATATAATACAATTTTGAGATTTGGGGATATTTATCTCCTATTCTTTCACTTGTTCTGACATTTTCAACACCAAACATGTCGTTAATGTCTCTGTTTAGTTAACTACAGCAATCTGAAAGCCTGTACATTATTTATATCACACTTTATAAGTAGAAAAATGCAGGAAATGACTTTTTTAATGCAGTATTTTGGCGCAACAAAGATATTTCGCTACCTTTGACTCTAATATGTCAACATGAAACAAGAATATGAACCTGACTTTATCCAATGTTCACACAAGAGTTCTACATCCTGACACATCCTTCATCTACACTGTCTCAACTGAAAGAGGACCAGAAACACATTACAAATATAATATCATGTGGAGACTTTGGGATATTTATCTCCCATTCTTTTACTTTTCGGGCATTTTACAGACCAGACAAGTCGTTGATGTCACTGTTTACCAAACTACCACTTTTTCTGAAAAATGCATAAAATTATGCAATATATGTTAAATGCATGGTTTATACATGTAATTACTGGGGTTCCATTTCTTCTGATTACCTAATTTGGGCGTGCACATTTGCTGCGCGCAAACCTACCTCTTTTGGATTTGGAAAGGTTGGCATGTATGAAGTATGCTAATAAAACAGAAGAACATTTTAGTTAAAAAAAGACACATTAGAAATCGGACATCATAGAAGTAGTTGGTTACTTAATTAACCTAAAAGTAACAAACCGTTTCTAAGGTTAGCTTAAAGTAAGCTAGCTTCTAACTAGGTGCAGTAGCAGTGGTACAAACACAAGTCACCTTGAGCTTAAACATGGACAATTCACTGGTATTTAACCATTTACATACATTTGGTCGTTTTAGAGAACTCAATATCACCCTTGCAATCCTATACTTATAACGCTCACATCACATCTAAACGTGATGTTTCTCCAGCATGTCGTCACTTCTCTGTCTCTTCCTCCTGTCTTCTGATGTCTTGTTGCGTAACATCAGGCCTGGAAGGTCAGAGGATGAAAGGGAAGTACCGGCCGCTGGGATGAGAGGAGCTTTGGAAACATGGAGAGGAGACTCTGGCATGAGATGGATTACATGGAGCGCCACAGTCATTTAACCACAGGCTTAATATAGCCAGATACAAGAAGATATTTCATTGACATTAGTGCGGTGACATTTATTAATGTGCTCAACGTTCCCTCCAGATCTGTCTGCTCTTCTACTGCATTTTAGATCTAATATCGTACTTTTTAATCCACTGCATTTACAAAATATGAATAGGAGTAATGATATACTGTAATATATTATTGTAGGTAAAAATATACATCAGCAGTATATCAAATATATCAAATTAGCTCCACCTTTACCAGCTGTGCCGAACATATTGATCATAATCCAGTCATTTAGTACAAGTATTTCTTATAAAATGGGCTTACGAACAATACGTACTTTCAATTTTGGTACGTTAAGTATACTTGGATTTTGAATGCAGTACTTTTACTTATAACAGAGTATTTACAATTTAGTATTGCTATTTTGAAGATTCAACTTATTGTCATTACGTAGTACAGGTACTATGTAACAAAATGGTTTCTCTGGATTTGACCCATCCTAGTGTTAGGAGCAGTGTGCTGCCATTATGTGCGGCGCCCGGGGAGCAGTGTAGGGAACGGTGCCTTGCTCAGGGACACCTCGGTAGCACTTGGTCTTTCCGGGACTTGAACTGGTGACCTTCCAGTCGCCAAGCCAAGTCCCTATCGACGTCGCCACCACCGCCGTTGACTTAGTTGACTTTCTTTTAAGTAAAACATCTGAGTACTTTTTTTCACACACAAACTTAATCACTTCTGTCGACTTGGAAATTACCTGAAAGTGTGTAAATAATCCGTCAAATTACACCAACAAATGTGACCGTAAAGCCCACTGATAGCTGCAAGTCAGTCACTCAGTTAGACATCAGACACTAACCGTGACAGTGGTTTGAGAAATGGATAAGTAAAGCAACCTCAACGCAATTATTGGATTTACCAGAAAAGTAGAAAATCTTGGACATGAAGCAGACAAAGAAAAATTGAGTCTTGTTCCATCCTTTTAGTCTGTCACCTGGGATTGATCGGCGATCGATCCTCCGGTTAGCAAAGTAAGTGGAGGAAGGTCTCATCGCTCTAATGAAGGCAAACGAGAGACGACCTTTGTCTTTGAGGCAGATTGATGGGTCTGACCCGAGGCTCGTTGGACACCTTCATTAACATTTAAAACCTCAGTTTGTTTCTGTCGGTGCCAGGTCCGGGAAGATTTCTAACTTCCTGACAAATGGAAATAAGTGCAGTCAAATCAATCAATCAATCAATGTTTATTTATATAGCCCAATATCACAAATGTTACATTTGTCTCAGTGGACTTTACAGTTTGTACAGAATATCAGTATGACAATACGACACCCTCTGTCCTTAGACCCTCTGTCCTTAGACCCTCTGTCCTTAGACCCTCTGTCCTTAGACCCTCACATCGTACAAGGAAAAACTTCAGAAGAAAACCCACAGTTTAAAGGGAAAAATAGGAGAAACCTCAGGGAGAGCAACAGAGGAGGGATCCCTCTCCCAGGACGGACAGACGTGCAATAGATGCCGTGTGTAAATTGAAAAGATAATACATTTGCAACGTCCAAATGTTTGGAAATGCATGTGTGTATAATAGGAAGATGAATCCACGAGGATATCCATCCAGGACCTATGATCCAGGACCACAGCCACGATTCAAGATCCAGGGCTCGCGATGCAGGACACAGGAGCGCAGAAATATTATGTGTACTATTATTGAGGTTGAACAACATTAGAAGGAAAGAACGACGTCTACAAATAATTAAAACTGTTAATGTTGGCTAAAAGTAATGTTAGCATTTGAATTGCTAACTTAAAGCAGGTTAATGAAACAGTTTAAATTGTTAGCTGAAAGTAATAACACCATTGGTTAATTAATGAAACTGTTGAAATATGCACAATGTGTTAGTTTAGGGTGAGTGTATGTATTATTCAAAATAAAATAACCTTCTCTGTAATTCTTAAAACATAGAATTGTTCTCAACTTTAGGATATATTCTTAGATAGAAATAAAAACTATTTATAAACAAACCAAAATGCTTCATTCATAACATTCTTTTATTTTTTGAATTATTATTTTGTATGATTTATTCTACGATTTCAATACTAGACAGTTTATACATCTGACAAATAAACACATACATATGTTTATATAGAATTTTGCTGATTTGTGTGCTTGTTAAATTACTGATTTATATTTTTTTAGGTTGTGCTGTTGCATACGTGTTGTTTTAACGCTGTTCTGCAGAAGGCAATTGTTTTCCGTAATCCTGGCAACAGACCAATAATCCAAATCCAAACTCTACAACAGGTTTCAGAATAAACTCATTGTTTTTACAACCACAACTTCACTCTTTACTCCATTTAGTTTCTAAAGATACAGATATTTCTACAGGTGGAGACCAGAAACAGAGCATCTGGTGGACAAAAACATGACTAAATGAATGCTAACGGTACTTTGTGTTACTTGTTTAAAAGCACATGTCTCCCTCTGCTTTCCCTCCTCTTCCTCTCACTCCTTATCCTCTCCATCACCTGCTTCCTCTTCCTCCTCCACCCTTTTCTTTTCTCTTGCCTCCCCTCCTCTTCCTCTTCCTCCTCCAGTCGTCCAGCTCCTCTCAGGAGAGGCTGCACCAGCTTCCCTTCCAGCCCACCATGGATGAGCTGCACTTCTTATCCAAACACTTTGGCAGCACCGAGAGCATCACGGACGATGACGGAGGAAGATGTTCTCCACACATGCGCCCGCGCTCTCGCAGTCTCAGGTCAGCAGAAACAACACCTATGAGATTTAACAGCAGCTTTAGCTACCTAAAAGCACTTTTTAAAAATGACTTTCAAAAGCACTTCTAGAATGGTTGATCTGGGAATTTCTTTTAGATAACATACTGAAACATTTATATCTATATCAAGGCAAAGTCATTACTAAAGTGAGACTTAAAACAAATCCACATCCTCCTATATGATGGCTAATGTTAGCTTACGTTAGCAAACTAACATCAGCTCAAATTAGCTAGGATGGAAGGATTCAATATTAAAACTAGTAGGCCTATGTGGGCCTACTAGTTTACACATTACACATTTCTTTCAAAGACAATAATTTTTTATTCATTATTTAAACTGTGTGTGGGCAGAGAACTTTATAGATATTGCCCAATAACCACAATTGAGCTGCCTATTACTTTTCCCGCCTTGCGCACGCTAGACTGCTTTAGCATTAGCATTATCAGTTCACCAAAAATGATATGGACTCACTTTAAATAATTTATATAAAACTGTTACTTTACCTCACTTAATGCAAGGTTAAGTGACAATTGTGAGGAGGAATCGTGATATATCAACAAACGGTGTCAGTTACAAAGCAAGAGATACTTTAACTTTGCTAACATAGCTAACTAGCTAAGTAGCTCATGAAAAACAGTTAATACAACTGAAAAAGTGCACTGATGCCTACTATTCATGACTTTAGAGCATAGTTCAGACCTGCAATTCACAGGTATAGCTATATATATATTTCTTTTTTTTTTAGCAAATTGTTTTGACAGTATTCCATGTTTTTCTGCTTTTACGGACGGGTGGCGCAGTGGTCTGTGCATCTGATCATCAGATCAAGGGGGGTGCTGGGGAACTCCAGTTCGAAACCCGCTCCTGCCGCCACTGCGTCAGGCCGTTGTGTCCTTGGGCAAGACACTTCACCCGGATTTGCTCCTGTGGGTATTGTCCACAGTACATGTATGATATCAATGTGTACCTGTAAAAGCGCCTCGATGACTTCGAGGCGTGAAGATGGACGGTGTGGCGCAGTGCGCTGTGCAATGATCATCAGATCAAGGGGTGAAACCCGCCGCCGCTGCGTCTGTAAAGCCGGTGTGTCCTTGGGCAAGACACTTCACCTGAACTTGCTCCTGTGGGTATTGTCCACAGTACATGACCATTATGATATGTGTAATGTGTATTTGTAAAGCGCTTTGAGCATCTGGAAAAGCGCTATAATAAATGTAAGGAATTATTAATTATTATTATTATTTACCCTACAGCCCAGGACGTTCCTCCTCCTTCTATGACAACGAGATAGTCATGATGAACCATGTGTATAAAGAGCGCTTTCCAAAGGTAAAACACACACACACACTAAGCTGCATTGTGATCAAAATCATATTCCATAAAAACACACACAACGTAATCCCTAAGCCTACAGAGCATTAACCAATCTTTCAGCCAAAAAACAGCCTAATCCTATTTAGACAGAGCTTACATTTTAGGGAAATAAAAAAGGGATTTAAAGTATGATTGAGCATTTTCAGAGATGACAAATGCACAGTACACACAGTTAAACCCCCCAGAAAAAGGAAGCCATAGCAGCTGTTAGACCAAAGCAAACACGATTATGTGCCGCTGCCAAGTCGTGATATGATCAGAGAGAAGTTTTTAGTTTAATCACTGCACTTAGAAATAGTGCCAGAGCTATGAACAGTGAAAGGCAAGGCAGGTTTATTTATATAGCACTTTACAACACAAGGCCATTCAAAGTGCTTTACAAAAAAGAAAATGGCATTTAAAATCAGTCATTAAAAAGAAAAGCTAATAAAATAAACATTAAAAGAAATAATACATGGATAAAAGTACAAAGTACTTTCTGTTATCCTCATGTTGATCCCTTTCACTCTGAGGTTGCTATGAAAAGGAAATGGGCTGACAGCTTCCACAGAGATAAAGATCAAGCATTAGGAAAATTGGCCTTTTTTGTTTTGAGTTCATTTGAGGTAAAAGCTCTTTTGGCTTGTCCTCACACAAGTCAAGAAATGTTATCCACAAACAGTAAAGAAATACAAGTATACTCATAGGACAAATGGAGATGTGTATAGGCTATAACAATAGGGGCCAAAACAGAAAGTATTTTAAAAGGTATCTTACTAACACATCTAGATTTAGGGAGAGTTCATGTATTATACTGAAACATTACGAGCTAAAAACACTAACCAAATATCCTAAAACTACTCTAACCTCTGCTACCAAATGGTCCTAAAACATTGGTTTTATTAGTCTAAAGGGGTCGGAAACCTTTTTGATATGAAGTGCCATTTAAAAAATAAATAAAAATGGGATCAGTGTGCCGACAACGGGGGGGGGGGGGGGAGCCTCGCTGCGGGGAAGCAGTGTGTGGATCTCTTTCACCTGTCAGCGCAACTTACATGATGCGGTTTAAACAAATTTAAATAATTGGTTTAAACGGTATAATAATAATGACGTTCGTCCGTTCTGTGATTCTCCAGAACACACAGGTGGCCAGTTCGCCCCGGTGTAGCATATTACTTTCGATGAGAGATGAGCAGATATCCACTGGGCTTTCAACTAAAGACACAGCCACGCAAAAATTGGGGCATTTGTACAGCTCCTTATGGGTAATGCAATTTGTGAAGTGCCGGTGTTGTGTCAAATGATGCACCCCCGTCGTGAAATGCACCCCCTGGCCTGCCGTACAAAGCGCCCCCCCAAAAAAAGATGCTTCTATTAATCCCACCCTCAAGCACTTTGGAGGGTATAGTTGCAGGACTAGTACCAATACATGGAGAAAGTTTCATGTATGTGACACGTGTATTGTCAGAGATACCAAGGGGTGCATATCGTGGCAACCAGGCTGTTCATAAAAAGCACCCCCCAAAATAAAAATATATATATTAATCCCACCCTCAAGCACTTGATGCAAAAATAAACAATACATTGTAAAGCACAAGCACAAGTATACAGACAGGACGTCACAATTAAATAAAAACATATATTAAATAAAAGATTAACTGAAAAATAAGGGACGAATGAATGCAAAATCCAGGATTCGACAACCCAACCATCAAAAAGACAACATAGAATAGCGGACTATACATTCAAATGCGCGTTCCCGTGTCAAGGGGTGCATTTCACGACGGGGGTGCATAATTTGACACAACACCGGCGCGCTCCGGCAGCACTTCACCCCTGATCGTTTCACCAGGGAGGAAAGCGGCAGAAAGTCGACTGGAGTTAAAGAGAGCGGGGCTGCGTTGTGTGCATGGCTTCCTTCTGCAGGTAACGGGGAGACGTGCTCTGGCGGCGGTCTCGTTCAGGATCCGAAAATACAATTTGTTGCACACTTCCTAGTGTGCCACTGGTTACGGTGCCGCGTGGCAATAGTGGCACGCGTGCCAGGGGTTGCCAACCCCTGGTCTAAAGATTAGTTTAAACATGGTAAGACATGGTATATATCCTCCTACAATTTTGAAAGACACCAGAAGAAATCAAGAAGTTGGATTCTATCTTATTCCTAACAATATAATTTCTTAAAATACAAATAATAAAAAATAATAAATAAATAAAAGCAAAAAAACTATAAAATAATAATATGAAAAATAACAAAATAGATGTTATTCTTTAAATAAGTAAAAAAACAATACAATAATAAAGAAAAGACGACCAAGGCAAAATAATGAAAATGACAGGGAAAAAATAACATTGCATATAATTCAGTGTAAAGCAACAGAGCATCATTATCTCTGTCACTTCTTCTTCCACTCCCAACTCTTCCCGTGTCTTTTCTTTTGCCCTGACTTAATGTCTTCTTCGTCTTCCTCCTCCAGGCCACAGCGCAGATGGAGGGGAAGCTGGGCGACTTCATCCAGGAGTTCTCTCCTGAAAACGTTCTTCCTCTGGCCGACGGGGTCCTCAGCTTCATCCACCATCAGATAGCCGAGCTGTCCAGAGACTGCCTGGCCAAATCCCGCGACGGCCTCATCACCTCCGTCTACTTCTTCGAGCTGCAGGAGAACCTGGACAAGCTTCTACAGGATGTAAGTTTAGAAAATATATAAAGCCAACAAACTCATGTAAGAGCAATAAAGATGTTGCTGTTCCTAGTTGGTATAATAATAAGTAATGAGTATAGAAATCGGGAAGTGTCCGAGGCTTTTAAGTTTTTACAGTTTACAGAGAAACGAAATGCACACAACTGGGTATATCTTCATTTTAAATAGTTCATATGTTTATTTTAACAAAAGGAAAAGTGTTTCAAATTGTCTAAAAAGTGTGTGGTTGCTTCTACTGATATGAGCGGGCAGACCAGATGAAGTATCTCGCAACGTTTACAAAAGTAATCGTAACAACAGTAAAATAAATGTGTGGTTTCGGCGCATGATTTGGAGTTCATGGATATCAGCCATGGATGTATAATAAGAACTGGATACAGCGTGGGAGGCGGGGTCTCGTTCTTTCCTATGAGAGCTGCTCATTGGCGCATGAGGACAAAATGGCCCAACTTTTGAGAGAGCGAAACGTCACAGATTACCCATAATGCCTGGCTGACAGAGCAGAAGAACCCGTATGTGCGCTCACAGAGCATGCGCCCCTTAAGCCCCGCCCCCCGAGCTCCCACTCACTAGAATGAATGGAGAGAGAAAATAAATCTAGATTCGGCTTTTAGTGCATTTTACAACTTTAAGGACCGAATGATTATAATAAGGGCTATACAATAGTTCATACTGGGTAGTTTATTTAGTTAAAAAAAATATATCCGCTGATTTACAGACGTCTCTTTCCCAATGTTAGTCAATGGGAAAAAATCTTTCTGGGCCGGGTGACGCCATGGACTGATACGGAAATTGTAGTACCGCCGTTTGGACACAACGAATATTTTCCTCAGAGTCCGGCGCACTTCCTGGGGGCTTGATATCAGCCATTAGCAAACTAAACCAAAACATTTCTGTGCAGTTCCCCTCAGCTCTACGAAGCTTCTAAGCATCTTATAACTCATTGTTATTGATTATCGACCAAAACTCAACAACTGTATTTTTAGCAGAAGCTGTGTTGGTCAAAATATCTCCGAAAACAAACTGTGTGCCACGGGAACATAACCAGTTAGCAACTAGCTAGGGAATGTAGCGTAGCATTTAGCCGCTAAAATGCCAGATATTTCCCTCTAGCAGATGGTGGGGACCAAAAATAGAGCTTAAAGTTCAGTAAAAAAAAGGGACGTACATTCATCCATCCTCATCCAACTCCACTGGCTCCCTGTTCAATCCTGTATCAACTTCAAAAACCTACTGCTCACTTACAAAGCCCTACATAACCTCCCCTATCTGGCTGACCTTCTTCAGGAGTACACCCCCTCTCGCTCCCTCTGCTCCTTCGCTGGTCTGCTAACCGCCCCCACCCCACGCCTCGTCACCATGGGTGCTCGGGCTTTTAGCTGCACTGCTCCCAGACTCTGGAACTCCCTCCCCCCGCACATCCGACAGTCAGACACAATCACCATATTCAAATCCCAATTAAAAACCCACCTGTTCAAATCTGCCTACTCGCTGTAGTGCTCCCCATTATATGTTTCATTTGTGTCCACTTGATTGTCTCCTCCATGATTTCCTTTTAACAAATTGTACGGTGTCCTTGGGTGTCATAAAGGCGCCTAAAAATAAAATGTATTATTATCATCAGATGGACGAAAACATGTGGCTTTTAGTTTACTGGATATTTAAAAGGAAACTGCTATGCAACCAGGTTTCTATCAGCTTCATGTGGTGATAATATGTTAGTGTTTACAGCTTTTTGTGGCTGGGAAATCTATGAATTAATATTAAAATTACACTTTTTCACCGACTTTGAATTCAGAGAACGTTATAGTAGTCAAAATGAAAAACACAATACAAAAACCCAGGTATCATATTCACAGTAGCATTATGAAGCTTCAAATGATGATGGGTAAATGAATCCTATCCTCTGCTCAGGTAACTGATGGACAGATTGAGCTCAAGTCTTCTAATTTAATTCAAACTCGTGCTGCCTTTGATGAGAGACGAGATTGAAATGGCTGCGTTAAATGGAGGCTATAATCATGCTCCGAGCAGATAACGAGTATCAGTCAATTTCATCTCTGAACTCATTTTGACGGCGTGATTAGATCGCTGTGAAGCCGGGGTTTATTTCGATGGCATCAGCTGGGTTTTTCATGATCCATTTTCTCATTTTTCACAGCTTTTAATCTCTCTTTTAACTCCCTGCAATGCGTCACCTGTATATTAATTAAGGGATTTTACAGTGTCTGACACCGTAATTGTTGATGTTTATCTGCGTCTATATGTCTTTCTCTGTCAGGCCTTCGAGCGTTCAGAGAGCACAGAGGTAGCCTTCGTCACAGAGCTGGCGAAGAAGCTTCTCATCATCATCTCCCGACCTGCCAGGCTCCTGGAGTGTCTGGTAAAGATAACATTACTTGTCTTTAATGGTTATGTTATGTCTCCCAATGTCCTCTTTTCCTTCTGGCCTTTAATACACAGGTACATCATAGGGACCTTGTTCTTGATGTGCCGTTTGGTCTGTCTGTGGGTCACTTACCTGTGTAAAGGTAGCAACTGTAAAAGAGGACATATAGTGGTGCAGGAATAAGTCCTTAAACCCAGAAATGAGTCAGCATTTTACAGCTTCTTGATCCCTTGTGTTGAAGTCAAGGTTTTTTTTAACGTGTTTTTGTTGTTATCCTGAAATAAGGTCTGTGGTTAACACAAGTTATTTTAACGTTTTGTTCTACGACATAAAATACATCAGTAAATACCCCACTGGTACATTTTAAAACAGCAGTTGCTGACAAGTGTCTAAATGAGACGACTAAGCGTCATCACGGTCACATGACGTGAAGTCATGTGACCGTGCTATAGTCTTTTATAGCCCAACATTAGCCTCCTTTAGCTTAGCGGTGGTGACGTGAAGTCATGTGACCGTGCTGTAGTTCCTTTATAGCCCAACATTAGCCACCTTTAGCTTAGCGGTGGTGACGTGAAGTCATGTGACCGTGCTGTAGTTCCTTTATAGCCCAACATTAGCCTCCTTTAGCTTAGCGCTGGTGACGTGAAGTCATGTGACCGTGCTGTAGTCTTTTATAGCCCAACATTAGCCTCCTTTAGCTTAGCGGTGGTGACGTGAAGTCATGTGACCTTGCTGTAGTTCCTTTATAGCCCAACATTAGCCACCTTTAGCTTAGCGGTGGTGACGTGAAGTCATGTGACCGTGCTGTAGTTCCCGTTATAGCCTAACATTAGCCTCCTTTAGCTTAGCGGTGGTGACGTGAAGTCATGTGACCGTGCTGTAGTTCCTTTATAGCCTAACATTAGCCTCCTTTAGCTTAACGCTGGTGATGTGAAGTCATGTGACCGTGCTGTAGTTCCTTTATAGCCCAACATTAGCCTCCTTTAGCTTAGCGCTGGTGACGTGAAGTCATGTGACCGTGCTGTAGTCTTTTATAGCCTAACATTAGCCTCCTTTAGCTTAACGCTGGTGACGTGAAGTCATGTGACCGTGCTGTAGTTCCTTTATAGCCTAACATTAGCCTCCTTTAGCTTAACGCTGGTGATGTGAAGTCATGTGACCGTGCTGTAGTTCCTTTATAGCCCAACATTAGCCTCCTTTAGCTTAGCGGTGGAGACGTGAAGTCATGTGACCTTGCTGTAGTTCCTTTATAGCCCAACATTAGCCACCTTTAGCTTAGCGGTGGTGACGTGAAGTCATGTGACCGTGCTGTAGTTCCCGTTATAGCCTAACATTAGCCTCCTTTAGCTTAGCGGTGGTGACGTGAAGTCATGTGACCGTGCTGTAGTTCCTTTATAGCCTAACATTAGCCTCCTTTAGCTTAACGCTGGTGATGTGAAGTCATGTGACCGTGCTGTAGTTCCTTTATAGCCCAACATTAGCCTCCTTTAGCTTAGCGCTGGTGATGTGAAGTCATGTGACCGTGCTGTAGTCTTTTATAGCCCAACATTAGCCACCTTTAGCTTAGCGGTGGTGACGTGAAGTCATGTGACCGTGCTGTAGTCTTTTATAGCCCAACATTAGCCTCCTTTAGCTTAGCGGTGGTGACGTGAAGTCATGTGACCTTGCTGTAGTTCCTTTATAGCCCAACATTAGCCACCTTTAGCTTAGCGGTGGTGACGTGAAGTCATGTGACCGTGCTGTAGTTCCTTTATAGCCTAACATTAGCCTCCTTTAGCTTAACGCTGGTGATGTGAAGTCATGTGACTGTGCTGTAGTTCCTTTATAGCCCAACATTAGCCTCCTTTAGCTTAGCGCTGGTGACGTGAAGTCATGTGACCGTGCTGTAGTTCCTTTATAGCCTAACATTAGCCTCCTTTAGCTTAACGCTGGTGATGTGAAGTCATGTGACCGTGCTGTAGTCTTTTATAGCCCAACATTAGCCTCCTTTAGCTTAGCGGTGGTGACGTGAAGTCATGTGACTGTGCTGTAGTTCCTTTATAGCCTAACATTAGCCTCCTTTAGCTTAACGCTGGTGATGTGAAGTCATGTGACCGTGCTGTAGTCTTTTATAGCCCAACATTAGCCTCTTTTAGCTTAGCGGTGGTGACGTGAAGTCATGTGACCGTGCTGTAGTTCCTTTATAGCCTAACATTAGCCTCCTTTAGCTTAGCGGTGGTGACGTGAAGTCATGTGACCGTGCTGTAGTTCCTTTATAGCCCAACATTAGCTTTTAACTTCAGAAATCACAAAGTGGTGTTAATATGTGGAGATTATCCTGCTGAACAAAACGTGTAAGTATCATAAACGTTTGTTTGACAAAGAGATTATTTTCTGCAATAATCCAAAATCACATTGAGAAATCTCATTTGCTTTTTTTTAAGGAACCAAGGTGATATTAACTTCCGGGTTGGCCCACAAAAAAAAGCCATTACATTAAGTGAGAACTGTGTGGCTTCTTGTGCCTTCCCTTTCATGTCAATTATGCCCCAAATTATGCATCTAATTATCGCCACCAAGTGTCCAAAATAATATAACATGATGAATCACAACAAGACAAATGGCCCCCTCTCACACTATCCTATTACTATGTTGACAATCCTCATCCAGCCCCACTTTTTTTCTTCCAGAACATTTCACAGTTCACGTCCCTCCTGAGGACCGGCTGATTGTCTTTAGATAAACACGGGCACAGATACTCATTTGCCCATTAAGAGCATTTAGGCTCTCTGATGGACCACACAGCATTGGCAGAAAATAAAACAAAGCTGAAGTATTGAAAAGCCGGTCCAGTCTGTCTGGGCGTGGAATTCATTTGCATTTAGATTAAAATGTGCTAATGCCACGGTACGACTAATGCCAGGTCTGACAGACCGTGAACATGGTGTCAATTAAAGTGTGTGTGTGTGTGTGTCCTAGCATTACTATCCATGTGGGGACCTACATCTGTTTACACAGTCACGTGTGGGGACTGGCTTCCCTTATGGGGACAAAATGGAGGTCCCCATGAGGGGAATCATTCATGTTAGGGTTAGGCATGTTATGGTTAAGGTTAGGATAAGTCTCCAGGAAATGCATGTAAGTCAATGTAATGTCCCCTGAAGTAATGTATACATGGTGTGTGTGTGTGTGTGTGTGTGTGTGTGTGTGTGTGTGTGTGTGTGTGTGTGTGTGTGTGTGTGTGTGTGTGTGTGTGTGTGTGTGTGTGTGTGTGTGTGTGTGTGTGTGTGTGTGTGTGTGTGTGTGTGTGTGTGTGGTGTGTGTGTGTGTGTGTGTGTGTTGTGTGGGGGGGTGTGGTGTGTGTGGGGGTGTGTGTGTGTGGGGGTGTGTGGTGTCATCACATCCCACTCGATGAATCATGCCACAGTTTTTGATTATAAGCGGCAGCTGAAACGAATGACGAATTGATTTGTCTATTATAATTAATCTTTCGCTTAAATTGTTTTATATATGTTAGCGGTATATAACAAGGACCATACCTTTGGAGAAATTGAAATAAATTATAGTTACAGTGTCTAAAAACACATACTGTAACCCTTCATTCTTGGTAATATTATTATTTATTTATTTTATTAGACCATGCATACAAATAGAGAAGAGATATGATATATGCCATATTTGAGCTAATAGCTAATTTCCGTCTGCAATCAATATCATTTTTATTTATTTATTAAAAACAGCCTGCAAAAATGCGTCATCCCTCTCTTCAAAGATTAACCACCTTACCTGGAAGCAATCAGTCAAACATAGAACAATGTAATCCTCCCACAGTCATATTTAATGTCATTAGTTCAGTATTAATGCACCAGCTTGAGTAACTTCTTTCCCTCACGACATTATGTTGAAGTTTCCCTGCTCTTGTTTTCCAGGAGTTTAACCCGGAGGAGTTCTACCACCTGCTGGAGGCGGCGGAGGATCACGCTAAAGAGGGTCATCTGATGAAGACAGACATCCCCCGATACATCATCAGCCAGCTGGGGATGACCAAAGACCCTATCGAAGGTGACTGTTAGAAAAATCTCACTGGTCCCCGGCTTGAGCTTCAAAACAGGATCCATGTATTTCTGATCCTCTCCAGAATGGAAGTAGTCACAAGATGGAGAAATACCGGTTGTTGTACTGTAGGTAATCATACATCCTGTCATGTACACAACTGAGTTTTTACTCAAAATTATAACTTTTTCTCAAAATCTCAAAATTATGACTCTCTCAAAATTAGGACTTTTTTCTCAAAATCTCAAAATTATGACTTTTTCTCAAAATTAGGACTTTTTTCTCAAAATCTCAAAATTATGACTTTTTCTCAAAATTATGACTTTTTTCTCAAAATATCAAAATTATGACTTTTTCTTAAAATGACTTTTTCTCAAAAATGATGTATTTTTCTCAAAATATCAACATCATGACTTTTTCTCAAAATATCCAAAGACTTTTTCTCAAAATATCAAAATTATGACTTTTTCTCAAAATATCAAAATTATGACTTTTTCTCAAAATATCAAAATTATGACTTTTTCTTAAAATGACTTTTTCTCAAAATGATGTACTTTTCTCAAAATATCAACATCATGACTTTTTCTCAAAATATCAAAATTATGACTTTTTCTCAAAATCTCAAGGAGCTTCAGTCTCAGGATCCATGTTTCTGTGATCCTCTCCAGAATGGAAGGAGTCATCACATACAGAGCATCAACTAGTTCCTGAACAGTGTCCTTCACATGCTGATATCCAAGAGAGGGAGTTACACAGTCACAAGATGGAGGAATAGAAAGCAGTATTCAATGTTTACTTCAGATTAGCTCCACGTCAGAAATGAGCATGCTTGATGTCTATCTCCATAGAGGCTGAATCATCATGTTAATCACATAGCTATCATATGCCTCAAACAGTCCTGATGCTCTTCTAGGTAATCACACATCCTGTCATGTTCACAGCTACAGTTGGGATACCTTTGTTATCACGTTACTCTCATGTTGGAGGAGAACATTCAGGATTTTCCCAACAGGGAGACAGGAGCTTTCAGAATCAGAATACCTTCATTAGTCCCACAGAGGGGACATTTCTATCTATCTATCTATCTATCTATCTATCTATATATCTATCTATCTATCTATCTATCTATCTATCTATCTATCTATCTATCCATCCATCTATCCATCTATCCATCCATCCATCCATCCATCCATCCATCCATCCATCCATCTATCTATCTATCCATCTATCTATCTATCTATCTATCCATCTATCCATCTATCTATTCATCTATCTATCTATCCATCTATCCATCTATCTATCCATCTATCTATCTATCTATCCATCCATCCATCCATCCATCCATCCATCCATCCATCCATCCATCCATCCATCTATCTATCTATCCATCTATCTATCTATCTATCTATCCATCTATCCATCTATCTATTCATCTATCTATCTATCCATCTATCCATCTATCCATCTATCTATTCATCTATCTATCTATCCATCTATCCATCTATCTATCCATCTATCTATCTATCTATCCATCCATCCATCCATCCATCCATCCATCCATCCATCCATCCATCCATCTTTTAACTTTCCGGAAATAAAGCGACTGATTTGAACTCATATGTTTGTTTCTTATCAGAGATAAACCTGGACAGTTACGACAGCGAAGGACCGCTGACTCCAGAAACAGACGACTCGACGGATGTGAGTTTGGAGATGAATCCTCCATGTGATAATTTCTTCAAGGCCTTCTCCACATTTATACATCCTTATTTATATTTTTCCTGAGCAACAGTATAACGTTGTAACGATCAACTATCTAAAATAGTTGTGTTAATTAAACGCACAAGGGGTTCTTGAATGAAATTATATTATAAAGGTAAACAGAAATAATAAACGGATAATCTGCTCCTTAAACAAAATAAACAGAGACAGATTTCATGCATGGATCCATTATATTGACAGTTTTCCAGCCAAACAACACAAACAAAATTAAACAGTCCGCTCTGCGGCTTTACTGCCTAATCCAGGCTATTGTTCATTGACAAAAAAAAGCTGTTGCTCCTGCGCCCGTCGGCGGCAAAAACAGAAATGTTTGTAGGCCTTTTCAGGCTATATTCCACTTAAAAGGAAACACGAGGTCCAGCGTGGCACAAAGGAGCGATCTCACCCTGTGTCGGAGAGAATCTCTCTCTATCTGTGCGCGTCCTCTCCAAGGAGACGTGCTTCCAGGTCGGTCGATGCAATATCCACATACGGTTACTTTCAGTTACTTCCCCATTGCATTTTAACATACATGCTGAGAAAACGTAACTATCCCGCTGAATACCCGCATTCACCACACACAGGCTTCCTCCTCCCGTGAGAACCAACCTGGCATCCTGTTGACGCGCCCACTAAAAAGCCTCTGGGTGCGCCGCGACAGGTGAATATGCAAACGAGGCTTGCAGAACCACACCCTCAAACCTTACATAAAAGTGGACATTTAACGACTGTAGTTGCGAGGATAATACACATGCATCATAGATTTTCCTTTCATTTGAATCTAAACCACATGCCTTAACCTTTTCCCCTGCCCCTACAGTTTATAAGAAACACTGAGATCAATCTGCGACTGTCACAACGTCTGGCTTGCCAAGGTCTTTGAAATGTCTGCTTCATCTGCTAATGACTTGGCTTACAGCTAATTTAGTTAATTTATGCTGAAGTACGAAAAAAACTGAAGAGCAGCCTCTTTACTCTGGGCCATCCCTCAAGCATTAGGCACGCTTCCAACTCCCAAATTAAGATAAATAGGCATATAGGACTATATAAGAGGGAGGGGGGTATAGTTAGAGGGTGATAAGGGCCATTGTAGTTGAAACAAAAAACATTATAATTAATATTATGAGAAAAACTCACAAAATACATTTGAATTTACAAGAAAAAGCCTCACAAATTGGCCAGAAAAGATTAAAGACAGAAATGTGACATAGAAAAACCTTGAAAAATGTATATGAATCACCAAATGGAGAAAATTCAAGAAATAACGTATTCGCCAGAAAAAAACTCATGTCAATATACACCTTTTATCTATCTGAGTTACCTCTCATAATATGACCTCCTTCGCCAGGCGCCTTCATATGCCATCTTACTTTATCCAACACTGAGGACGCCTTACGTACAGATTATATAAATGTGCATCATCGAAGTAACAGTGGCCAAAAAATAGTGATTTTGCTGAGACTTGTTAAGAGACAATCTTAAGGATTTATGTAATATTTAATCCTGACGCTGTGATCTTGGCCAGAGGACTCTGTAAATCACACCCGCTGTTTTAAAATAGATTTTATGTATGTTTGATTACTTTCTTTGTAACTCTGTTTGAAAGGTGGTATATAAATAAAGTTTATTTGTATGTGATCTGCAGAGTAAGATGAGAGCGATGAAAGCACCAGAGGAGGCCGACTTTCAGACCATCAAACTGATCAGTAACGGAGCGTACGGGTGAGTTCAGCTTTGACCAGAGACGGCAAAAGTACACACATCCTTTACTGAAGTAGAAGTACAGATACTCGTGTTCAAAAGTAAGGCAAGGCAAGGCAAGTTTATTTATATAGCACTTTTCAACACAAGGCAATTCAAAGTGCTTTACAAAAAATGAAAGACATTAAGAAAATGGCATTTAAAATCAGTCATTAAAAAGAAAAGCTAATAAAAGAAACATTAAAAGAAAAAATACATAGAAGTACTGACTAAACTTCTTTACTCAAGTGAAAGTAGAGGCTTTGAAATGTACTTCAGTAAAAAGTACCCATAACTAGCAGCTGCTTTAAAGAGTACCTGACCTCCCTTTATATTAATAGAACAATAATGTCATTGTTAGCTAATGAATGTTTCCATGCTGAACAACGGCAACATGACAACGTTTCCATTGGTCCCTCTTCTTTAGAGAAGACCAGGAAATGATGGATACACGGATCGTGTTCAAATCAATAGGCACGCAATGACTCTAAAGAATAATGATCACGCATCAAACACACATTCAGACTAAAGGAACCAGCTGTTTGGAAAATGAGAGAAGTAGAAAGTACAGGTATTTGAGTTCAACATGTAAGAAGTAGAAAGTACAAGTATTTGAGTTCAACATGTAAGAAGTAGAAAGTACAGGTATTTGAGTTCAACATGTAAGAAGTAGAAAGTACAGGTATTTGAGTTCAACATGTGAGAAGTAGAAAGTACAGGTATTTGGGTTCAACATGTTAGAAGTAGAAAGTACAGGTATTTGAGTTCAACATGTAAGAAGTAGAAAGTACAGGTATTTGAGTTCAACATGTAAGAAGTAGAAAGTACAGGTATTTGAGTTCAACATGTAAGAAGTAGAAAGTACAGGTATTTGAGTTCACATGTAAGAAGTAGAAAGTACAGGTATTTGAGTTCAACATGTGAGAAGTAGAAAGTACAGGTATTTGGGTTCAACATGTTAGAAGTAGAAAGTACAGGTATTTGAGTTCAACATGTAAGAAGTAGAAAGTACAGGTATTTGAGTTCAACATGTGAGAAGTAGAAAGTACAGGTATTTGGGGTTCAACATGTTAGAAGTAGAAAGTACAGGTATTTGGGTTCAACATGTTAGAAGTAGAAAGTACAGGTATTTGAGTTCAACATGTAAGAAGTAGAAAGTACAGGTATTTGAGTTCAACATGTAAGAAGTAGAAAGTACAGGTATTTGAGTTCAACATGTAAGAAGTAGAAAGTACAGGTATTTGAGTTCAACATGTGAGAAGTAGAAAGTACAGGTATTTGTGTTCAACATGTGAGAAGTAGAAAGTACAAGTATTTGAGTTCAACATGTGAGAAGTAGAAAGTACAGGTATTTGAGTTCAACATGTGAGAAGTAGAAAGTACAGGTATTTGGGTTCAACATGTAAGAAGTAGAAAGTACAGGTATTTGAGTTCAACATGTAAGAAGTAGAAAGTACAGGTATTTCAGTTCAACATGTGAGAAGTAGAAAGTACAGGTATTTGAGTTCAACATGTAAGAAGTAGAAAGTACAGGTATTTGAGTTCAACATGTGAGAAGTAGAAAGTACAGGTATTTGAGTTCAACATGTAAGAAGTAGAAAGTACAGGTATTTGAGTTCAACATGTGAGAAGTAGAAAGTACAGGTATTTGAGTTCAACATGTAAGAAGTAGAAAGTACAGGTATTTGAGTTCAACATGTAAGAAGTAGAAAGTACAGGTATTTGAGTTCAACATGTAAGAAGTAGAAAGTACAAGTATTTGTGTTCAACATGTAAGAAGTAGAAAGTACAGGTATTTGAGTTCAACATGTAAGAAGTAGAAAGTACAGGTATTTGAGTTCAACATGTAAGAAGTAGAAAGTACAGGTATTTGAGTTCAACATGTGAGAAGTAGAAAGTACAGGTATTTGGAGTTCAACATGTAAGAAGTAGAAAGTACAGGTATTTGTGTTCAACATGTAAGAAGTAGAAAGTACAGGTATTTGAGTTCAACATGTAAGAAGTAGAAAGTACAGGTATTTGAGTTCAACATGTAAGAAGTAGAAAGTACAGGTATTTGTGTTCAACATGTAAGAAGTAGAAAGTACAGGTATTTGAGTTCAACATGTAAGAAGTAGAAAGTACAGGTATTTGAGTTCAACATGTAAGAAGTAGAAAGTACAGGTATTTGAGTTCAACATGTGAGAAGTAGAAAGTACAGGTATTTGAGTTCAACATGTAAGAAGTAGAAAGTACAGGTATTTGAGTTCAACATGTGAGAAGTAGAAAGTACAGGTATTTGAGTTCAACATGTAAGAAGTAGAAAGTACAGGTATTTGTGTTCAACATGTAAGAAGTAGAAAGTACAGGTATTTGTGTTCAACATGTAAGAAGTAGAAAGTACAGGTATTTGGGTTCAACATGTAAGAAGTAGAAAGTACAGGTATTTGAGTTCAACATGTAAAAAGTAGAAAGTACAGGTATTTGAGTTCAACATGTGAGAAGTAGAAAGTACAGGTATTTGAGTTCAACATGTAAGAAGTAGAAAGTACAGGTATTTGGGTTCAACATGTAAGAAGTAGAAAGTACAGGTATTTGGGTTCAACATGTGAGAAGTAGAAAGTACAGGTATTTGAGTTCAACATGTAAGAAGTAGAAAGTACAGGTATTTGGGTTCAACATGTAAGAAGTAGAAAGTACAGGTATTTGGGTTCAACATGTGAGAAGTAGAAAGTACAGGTATTTGAGTTCAACATGTAAGAAGTAGAAAGTACAGGTATTTGAGTTCAACATGTAAGAAGTAGAAAGTTCAGGTATTTGTGTTCAACATGTGAGAAGTAGAAAGTACAGGTATTTGAGTTCAACATGTAAGAAGTAGAAAGTACAGGTATTTGAGTTCAACATGTAAGAAGTAGAAAGTACAGGTATTTGAGTTCAACATGTAAGAAGTAGAAAGTACAGGTATTTGTGTTCAACATGTAAGAAGTAGAAAGTACAGGTATTTGAGTTCAACATGTGAGAAGTAGAAAGTACAGGTATTTGGGTTCAACATGTGAGAAGTAGAAAGTACAGGTATTTGAGTTCAACATGTAAGAAGTAGAAAGTACAGGTATTTGAGTTCAACATGTAAGAAGTAGAAAGTACAGGTATTTGTGTTCAACATGTAAGAAGTAGAAAGTACAGGTATTTGAGTTCAACATGTAAGAAGTAGAAAGTACAGGTATTTGGGTTCAACATGTGAGAAGTAGAAAGTACAGGTATTTGAGTTCAACATGTAAGAAGTAGAAAGTACAGGTATTTGAGTTCAACATGTAAGAAGTAGAAAGTACAGGTATTTGTGTTCAACATGTAAGAAGTAGAAAGTACAGGTATTTGAGTTCAACATGTAAGAAGTAGAAAGTACAGGTATTTGTGTTCAACATGTAAGAAGTAGAAAGTACAGGTATTTGTGTTCAACATGTGAGAAGTAGAAAGTACAGGTATTTGTGTTCAACATGTAAGAAGTAGAAAGTACAGGTATTTGAGTTCAACATGTAAGAAGTAGAAAGTACAGGTATTTGTGTTCAACATGTGAGAAGTAGAAAGTACAGGTATTTGAGTTCAACATGTAAGAAGTAGAAAGTACAGGTATTTGTGTTCAACATGTGAGAAGTAGAAAGTACAGGTATTTGTGTTCAACATGTGAGAAGTAGAAAGTACAGGTATTTGTGTTCAACATGTGAGAAGTAGAAAGTAAAAAGTCGTCAGTAAAATAAGTAGTGGAGTAAAGTACTGATACCAGAACAATCTACTCAAGTACATTAAGGAAGTATTTGTACTCCACTACTTCCCAGCTCTGGCTTTAAGACATACTGACACTACATCTGTCAGTCAGGCATGATGGAAAATAGTTTTTTGGCCACAAATGAAACATCATCCACGCTTCTGTGTGTGTTTCAGCGCTGTGTACCTGGTGCGTCACCTGGACACCCGGCAGCGCTTTGCCATGAAGAAGATCAACAAGCAGAACCTGATCCTGAGGAACCAGATCCAGCAGGCCTTCGTGGAGCGAGACATCCTCACCTTCGCAGAAAACCCCTTCGTGGTGTCCATGTTCTGCTCCTTCGAGACCAGAAGGCACCTCTGCATGGTCATGGAGTACGTGGAAGGTGAGGAAACTGTGTGTGTGCCGACCATACACTGTATAAACCTCATGCTATTAGCATTTACACTTTTCTCAAAGATATTGAAGTGACTGTTATTTTATATATATTGATTGTTGTGCTTTTATTTAGGTCTTAATGTGTGCATATGTATAAATGTGTCTGTTGATTGTGTATATATAGGATATACATATTTTTATTAGGGCTGTCAAGTTAACGCATGTGTATTTGTTGTCCTCGGCCGCCCCGTAGTTTCAGAGCGCATCGAGTTTCAAATACCGTCTACAAGCTGATGCTGACAGCCCCGCTCCTGCCGCCCGCTTGTGGCAGACCACACTTCCACGCTCACCGGCAGGCACCGACTGGCTGTTGGGAGGACCGGGAGGGTGTGTGTATGTGTGGCCCGAGCGAGCGAGAGAGAGACCTTACGTGCATTGTTGTTGTTAGCATCTGGTGCTAGCTAGCTGCGCTAATGGATATGGAGCTGTTTAAATGAAAACAGAGGAGCGACATTTCGCCACAACTGCGCCGAGCACTTGACTTTATGCAGGAAGCCAGACAGTGGGACATTGTACGAAAAGTCAGCACACTCAGCACGGATAGTGCAACATGATTGCAGCGTCCAGGCAGCTCCCGTTCGAGCATATGCCTTGAATTGCACATAGCTCCAACGATCCATCTCTCACACACACACACACACACACACACACACACACACACACACACACACACACACACACACACACACACACACACACACACACGTATTGTATTATTGAATGAGAGAGGTTCCAGGTTGTTGTGTTTAATATTCATGAGAATATTTGTCATTGTTCAAATGATAATAAACATTTGCATAAAGCATATTTGTCCACTCATATGTTGATAAGAGTATTAAAAACTTGAAAAATATTCCTCTAAGGTACATTTAGAACAGATACAAAATGTGCGATTAATTTGCGATTAATCGCGATTAACTATTTTAATCGACTGACAGCTCTAATATATATATATATATATATTTGTTTTTGTGTTCAGGGTTGTGGGAAACAGTATTTCGATCTCTCTGACTGCACACACAAACTGAAAGATTGACAATAAAGTTGACTTTGACTTTAAACCTTTGTGAATATAGCTATAGTGACCGAAATCGACAAAGCAAAGAAATTCATGCAAATTAGCTGCAAAAAGATACAAACTGACTCACAACGACTACGAAAAAGACAAAAGGACCACAAAGACATGTTAATGTGAAACATAACACAAAAGAATCATCAGACAAAGAGGGACATACAGACAGAGGCAGAATAATACAAGATAAACATTTACAATATCCCTCACAATGTACACACATAGCAGTCAGCTCATAGAGAGATAAAACAACAACGCCTATTGTTGGGGATCATTTGCTTAGTTCTTCAGAATTGATTGTGGCATCTCAACCGTAACAACCTGTCCTTCACTGCAAACATCGCTGCTACAACCCGTTGCTGCAGATACACGCTTTACAACATCAGGAAGATACGTCCCCAGCTGACTCAGAAAGCGACTCAGGTTCTGGTCCAGGCTCTCGTCATCTCACGCCTAGACTACTGCAACTCCCTCCTGGCTGGTCTACCTGCATGTGCCATCCGACCTCTGCAGCTCATCCAGAATGCAGCGGCTCGTCTGGTCTTCAACCTTCCTAAATGTTCCCACACCACTCCGCTCCTCCGCTCCCTCCACTGGCTTCCGGTAACTGCTAGAATCCACTTCAAGACACTGGTACTTGCTTACCATGCTGCAAATGGATCTGGCCCTTCCTACATCCAGGACATGGTTAAACCGTACACCCCAGCGCGTGCACTACGCTCTGCATCAGCCAAACGACTCGCTGCACCCTCGCTGCGAGGGGGACCCAAGTTCCCATCGGCGAAAACACGTGGGTTTGCTGTCCTGGCTCCAAGATGGTGGAATGAGCTCCCCATTGACATCAGGTCGGCAGATAGCTTGCACATCTTCCGGCGCAGACTGAAAACTCATCTCTTTCGACTCCACTTCGAGCGATAGAACTATTAACGAAGCACTTATATACTAATAAAGGACTGGCTTATCTAAAGCCAGTTGAGTAGCACTTGAAATGTTTGGCTCTATGAAACCTGATGTACTTATATGATTCTGTTTTCTTCAAGGTTGTATTTTGTTGGTCGAACGCACTTATTGTAAGTCGCTTTGGATAAAAGCGTCAGCTAAATGCAATGTAATGTAATGTGTGGTCCGTGACTTGTCTTCTCCGGCCGAAGCTCCAAATAAACCGTCAGTGTTTGCCATCAAAGCTCCAGCTCTCCTCGTGTCTCTCTGAGTCCTGACTCCATCAGAGCTCCAGCTCTCCTCGTGTCTCTCTGAGTCCTGACTCCATCAGAGCTCCAGCTCTCCTCGTCTCTCTGAGTCCTGACTCCATCAAAGCTCCAGCTCTCCTCGTGTCTCTCTGAGTCCTGACTCCATCAGAGCTCCAGCTCTCCTCGTGTCTCTCTGAGTCCTGACTCCATCAGAGCTCCAGCTCTCCTCGTGTCTCTCTGAGTCCTGACTCCATCAGAGCTCCAGCTCTCCTCGTCTCTCTGAGTCCTGACTCCATCAGAGCTCCAGCTCTCCTCGTGTCTCTCTGAGTCCTGACTCCATCAGAGCTCCAGCTCTCCTCGTGTCTCTCTGAGTCCTGACTCCATCAGAGCTCCAGCTCTCCTCGTCTCTCTGAGTCCTGACTCCATCAGAGCTCCAGCTCTCCTCGTGTCTCTCTGAGTCCTGACTCCATCAGAGCTCCAGCTCTCCTCGTCTCTCTGAGTCCTGACTCCATCAAAGCTCCAGCTCTCCTTGTGTCTCTCTGAGTCCTGACTCCATCAGAGCTCCAGCTCTCCTCGTGTCTCTCTGAGTCCTGACTCCATCAAAGCTCCAGCTCTCCTTGTGTCTCTCTGCGTCCTGACTCCATCAAAGCTCCAGCTCTCCTCGTCTCTCTGAGTCCTGACTCCATCAGAGCTCCAGCTCTCCTTGTGTCTCTCTGCGTCCTGACTCCATCAAAGCTCCAGCTCTCCTCGTCTCTCTGAGTCCTGACTCCATCAGAGCTCCAGCTCTCCTCGTGTCTCTCTGAGTCCTGACTCCATCAGAGCTCCAGCTCTCCTCGTCTCTCTCTGAGTCCTGACTCCATCAGAGCTCCAGCTCTCCTCGTCTCTCTGAGTCCTGACTCCATCAGAGCTCCAGCTCTCCTCGTGTCTCTCTGAGTCCTGACTCCATCAAAGCTCCAGCTCTCCTTGTGTCTCTCTGAGTCCTGACTCCATCAGAGCTCCAGCTCTCCTCGTGTCTCTCTGAGTCCTGACTCCATCAGAGCTCCAGCTCTCCTCGTGTCTCTCTGAGTCCTGACTCCATTAAAGCTCCAGCTCTCCTCGTGTCTCTCTGAGTCCTGACTCCATCAAAGCTCCAGCTCTCCTCGTGTCTCTCTGAGTCCTGACTCCATCAGAGCTCCAGCTCTCCTCGTGTCTCTCTGAGTCCTGACTCCATCAGAGCTCCAGCTCTCCTCGTGTCTCTCTGAGTCCTGACTCCATCAAAGCTCCAGCTCTCCTCGTGTCTCTCTGAGTCCTGACTCCATCAAAGCTCCAGCTCTCCTTGTCTCTCTGAGTCCTGACTCCATCAAAGCTCCAGCTCTCCTTGTGTCTCTCTGAGTCCTGACTCCATCAGAGCTCCAGCTCTCCTCGTGTCTCTCTGAGTCCTGACTCCATCAAAGCTCCAGCTCTCCTCGTGTCTCTCTGAGTCCTGACTCCATCAAAGCTCCAGCTCTCCTCGTGTCTCTCTGAGTCCTGACTCCATCAAAGCTCCAGCTCTCCTTGTCTCTCTGAGTCCTGACTCCATCAAAGCTCCAGCTCTCCTCGTGTCTCTCTGAGTCCTGACTCCATCAGAGCTCCAGCTCTCCTCGTCTCTCTTTGAGTCCTGACTCCATCAAAGCTCCAGCTCTCCTCGTGTCTCTCTGAGTCCTGACTCCTATTGCTTCAGAAGTTTCCCTCACACCTATGACATTAAAGCCTTCAAATCTTGAAAAACATGATTTCTAATGTCATGAATGATTGATTGTGTGTCTGCAGGTGGAGACTGTGCGACTCTGCTGAAGAACATCGGAGCGCTTCCTGTAGAAATGGCTCGGATGTACTTTGCAGAAACTGTCCTCGCTCTGGAGTATTTACACAACTACGGGATCGTCCACCGGGACCTCAAGCCTGACAAGTGAGACAGAGCTAATCCATCTGCTACTGATGCTTGATGTACACACAGGAAGGAGTTCTTTATAACTTGTGTGTTTCTGCTCCAGCCTCCTGATCACCTCCATGGGTCACATCAAGCTCACAGACTTTGGCCTCTCTAAGATGGGTCTGATGAGTCTGACCACCAACCTGTACGAAGGACACATCGAGAAGGACACTCGGGAGTTCCTGGATAAACAGGTACGACAAAAACAACAAAATGATATGAGCAGAGGTGAAGTAGAACTCTGTTAAACAATCTGAAATCAAGACAGGTTAAGTTATTTTATGCATGCATTTATATAAAGCATAGTGTAACCAAACATTACTTTAATTATTATTTTAAGTTTTTTAATTATTATTATTATTTTTATTATTTATTTATTTTTATTATTTTAGTATTATAATTATATTATTATTATTTATTATTTGTATTTATTCTATTTGTATTAGTTTCAGTTTTATTATTTGTATTAGTTGTAATTTTATTATTTGTATTTTTTTTTTATATATATATTTGTATTATTGTAGTATTATAATTAGATTATTAGTTTTATTTGTATTATTATTTGTATTTTTTTTTGTATTATTTCTATTAGTTGTAATTGTATTATTATTAATATTTTTATAATTAGATTATTATTTTTATTATTATTTTTATTATTTCTATTAGTTTATTATTATTATTATTTTTTTGAATTTTAGTATTATAATTAGATTATTATTTTTATTATTATTTTTATTATTTCTATTAGTTTATTATTTTTATAATTTTAGTATTATAATTAGATTATTATTTTTATTATTATTTTTATTATTTCTATTTCTATTAGTTTTTTTAAATTATTTTCTTTTCTTTTTTTGTATTATTTTTATTTGTATTATTTTCTTTTTTAAATGTGCATGTTGCACATAATTCACAGGAGGTAAAGTGGTACATGAATGAAACGACTGATGGAATAAAGAGTGTTTCCTGTGCTCCAGGTGTGTGGCACTCCGGAGTACATCGCCCCCGAGGTGATCCTGCGGCAGGGCTACGGGAAGCCGGTGGACTGGTGGGCGATGGGCATCATCCTGTACGAGTTCCTGGTGGGCTGCGTGCCTTTCTTTGGAGACACTCCGGAGGAACTGTTCGGACAGGTCATCACAGGTGAGGGGCTCAAGTTAGAGAGAGTTGGAGCCATTAAGAGACTCTGGTTTAATGAGAGGTGGGAAGTAGTGGAGTACAAATACTTCGTTACTGTACTTAAGTACATGTTTCTGGTATCAGTACTTTACTCCACTACTTGTTTTTCTGACGACTTTTTACTTCTACTTCTTACATTTAGAACACAAATACCTGTAAAAATTATTTTAAAATGTATTAATTTTAAAAGTGAGTCCGTGGCCCGTGATGGCGGGAGTTATAAATTAGATTGCATAATCGTTTTTCTTCATATTTTATGTATTTTTCATTGTTTGTTCAATACTAGAAAGGTAAAAGTCCCACAAATGAACTGTGATGGGATTTGTTTTCTCTCACCAGTGAAGGCAAATGTTGATTTTAAAGATTTGTTTGTTTGTGCAATGCCGAGATCTCATGACCTTTATTCTATTATGTATTTGTTCTCTAGTCGAATCTCAGGTTTAACATTAATTATAACGGTCTGTTTGCATTGACAAGATGTGCTATTCACGCGGCACACCTGATGTGCTATAAAAGATATTCCATAATCGGTTTTCTTCATATTTGTTATGTATCTTTCATTGTTTGTTCAGAACTGAAAGGTCCAAGAAGTCCCACAATTGAATTTAATATTCATTTGACATGTTAACTATATCGTAAAGCGCTTCATGGGAGTAATTGTGGGATGATACATTTTCAAAGTATCACGATATGTATCGGTTGAATATCGGTATCGTTCAGTGGTATCGGTATCGTAAAAAAGTCAACGATATCCCTCGGTAATCCAAACTAAGTGCCGCAACTAAACACGAAGAAAACATTGTCTGACGCGCAAGAAAACAGTCTTTCCACTGGTATGCGTTTGACCTTGTATTTGCAAACGAAACAAGCAAACATTCTTTCACACACAGTGACGTCACAAGCTACCCACAATGCAACGCGCGCCATATATCTATATAGAAATACGCCATTTTCCTGGAGGTGCTAATATCCTGGAGGTGCAAATATAAACAGCTAGCTAACGTAGCCAGGCAGAGCGCACTCGGTTTTTTTTTCTGAATTAACGACCGAAGAAATCGCTGCATGTCTTCGGATTACATCTCTGGACTTGAGGGGTGTGCTCTAGGTCGTTACCAGCGTAAACTAGAGCTGTGTGGGTTGTTACAGACTGCCCGCAGATGTATGGAAAAACGACTCTCGAAAGTGGCCTTCGGTCGATTTTGGCAGCATCTACGTCTATCTTCTAGAAACACCAGGTGAATACCCCACTTGTCACAATAATATTATCATGCCATTGCATATATGTGGTATTTTAGAGTTGACTAGATATTGATTAAGGCAATAGACTATTATATTCAGCTTGCACCTCGTGTGAAATGGTGGATACCGGAAGTACGGTGCCGCCCTCGGCCTAAAACCCGTATGTGTGTGTGAAAGAATAAAAAATAATTCTAGTCCAGTATATTATTGCGTAGGCGGTCAACAAAAAGTGTCCTTCCCCAGCTCACTCCCCCTCCATCGATGACAAAGAGCAACCGGATATAACCGCAAACGTCACCGCACAAATCCAATAGACACCCACCTATAGTGACTCAAGAAATGTGACGTAACAAACACAGGAAAATACGTATTATTGAACACACTTTTCTCCCCTTTTTAATAATAATTCCTTTTATTTATAAGCGCACTTTTTATTTGAGTGCTACAGAGTGCTACAAAGTGCTACAAAGTGCTACAAAGTGCTACAAAGTGCTACAAAGTGCTACAGAGTAAAATGGTTGAACCAAAACAACAAATAAAAGCAGCTACGTTTCCGTCGGCAAGGCAACGAGTGGGGGTTTTAAAAAATCTAGGAAAAGGCCATTCTAAAAAGATCAATTTTTCCCAATGTCCCTGTCTCCTGCAGATGACATCGTGTGGCCTGAAGGAGACGAGTCCCTCCCGTTTGACGCTCAGCACCTGATCTCCTCCCTGCTGCAGACCAACCCTCTGGGCCGGCTGGGAACAGGTCAGTTGCTTTTATATTGCTACCCCTTGGACAAGAACAAGCTGGTAGTTTCAACCCTTTGTCTGCATACCTCTCCCCCTGTTCCAGAGTCACTGACCTTACACACTAACTCTCTTCCTGCCTGTATGCTCACAGACGTAAATAAGTCGACTTCCATCTTGGTCCAGAGTCATTTTTCATTTGTATCCCTGGTTTGTTTTGGCTTAGATCAGTGGTTTCCGTTTTGATCTTTAGAGTTCAAACATGTTATTCATACAACTGAAATGCAATGTTGTGCTTTTAATTTAACTATTTAAAAAAATGTTATTTCTAGTCATTATTTGTAGTTAACTATTCCAACCATGTTTTTGTTTTTTTAGCAAACAAGTCTCTGCTCGTCTGCTTACCAGTTTTCTTTGGCTCTCTACTTAATGCATTTTTTTGACGTTTCTTTCAAATTGTATTTTTAACTACCTGAGCTTCTTTACAATGTTATGACCAGTGTTGGGCAAGTTACTTTCAAAAAGTAGCTAGTAATAGTTATAGTTACTGCTCTCATAAAAGTAACTAGTTATTTTATTAGTTACTAAATTATAAAAGTAACTTGTAACAAGTTACTTTACTTTAAAAATAATAACAACACAAATACAAGTGTTTGTGTTGTTCTGTGGCACAATGCTTTCTGTCTGCACACAGTTTACATTTGACCGTAATATTTTGTGCGTCCTTTATCCCCACAAATTGAAAATAGTGGTTATATCTCCAAGTTGTAAATGTGCTGCTGCTCTAGCTGATACTTGCATCTGCCATAGTGTGTGTGTGTGTGTGTGTGTGTGTGTGTGTGTGTGTGTGTGTGTGTGTGTGTGTGTGTGTGTGTGTGTGTGTGTGTGTGTGTGTGTGTGTGTGTGTGTGTGTGTGGTGTGTGTGTGTGTGTGTGTGTGTGTGTGTGTGTGTGTGTGTGTGTGTGTGGTGTGTGTGTGTGTGTGTGTGTGTGTGTGTGTGTGTGTGTGTGTGTGTGTGTGTGTGTGTGTGCTGGTGGTGGGCGTTGCCGTGTATGTGTGTGTGTTAGCAAGTGTTTGTGTGTCTGTGTATTTTCCCCATAAGGCAAGACCCAACTCTGTCTCTGATTGGCTTACCCTGAAATGTTACTCTGTGTTAACCAATCATCACTCCTCTCTGCTCACTTTCACTTGTCCATGGTGCTGTGAGAGGACATCGCTGTATTTGCCTGTAAGCTACATCTGCAGCGAGATTCGGTTCAGTTCCATCACATAATGTAACGCAGTAACGCACCCATTTAAATCACAGTAACTATAACGGCGTTACTGAATGGGAATAGGTAACTAGTAACGCTATTAGTTACCGCAAAAGGTAGTTGCGTTACAGTAACTGGTTATGACTAATCCCTTGCATCTGCAAAAGTACCCACTGGAAAACGTGTTTGTGTTTCACTGACCTTGAATATCTGCCTGTCGGCTCACAGATTCAGCTTTACCTAAAGAAGTCGACTTCTGTCCCACTCAAAATGCCTCTGTCTGTCTTCATCTTCCTCTCCTCTTCCTCTCCTCTTCCTCTCCTCTTCCTCTTCCTCTTCCTCTCTCTAGGAGGAGCGTTTGAAGTGAGGCAGCACTCGTTCTTCACCGAGGTGAACTGGAACAGCCTGCTGAGACAGAAAGCAGAGTTCATCCCTCACCTGGAGTCAGAGGAGGACACCAGTTACTTCGACAGTGAGTCTACAGCACATAGAGAAAGATAACGTATTCATTTCTAAACATGTTCCCATCGTAACGCTGTGATGTTTCGTCCCCAGCCCGATCTGAGCGCTACCACCACGTTCAGTCGTACGATGAGGACGACACCAACGACGACGAGCCGGTGGAGATCCATCGCTTCTCCTCCTGCTCGCCTCGCTTCAGCAAGGTCAGACCAGACATTCATGTTCAAACTTCTCTTTGTATCTTCTGTGGTGTTTCATATGTGACATTAAAGAATCTTGAAGTATTGTAAGATGTTTAATGTTTACGATTTACACTGCAAGATAAGGGTCCGATATTATGTCACCCTTTCGTGTCTCAAATCGCGTACTTCATAACTTACGTTTGCTATTTTGAAAGCATAAGTATGCTTAAATGCACTACTAGTACTTGGATGTGGGAGGCGTGAGGTGCAGTGGGTTGTGTGTTGGTGTAGGGATCAGGGGGGCACAGGTTCAAACCCCACTGCAGTCAGCATGTCGTTGTGTCCCTGAGACACTTCACCCCACATTGCTCCTGTGGGGATTGCCCACAGTATTGAGTATGTAAGTCGCTTTGGATAAAAGCGTCTAACAAGTGACATGTGATGGAATGTAATGGTGATTTCTGTGAAAAATAACGTTGCTAGCTTGCTAGATAGTTAACAGGGTTTGCTTTGAGACAACGCTACACAGTTCAAATTCATGTGTTCACATTGCAAAACATGGCAGCGTCCGAGTATATCTACATGGACTGTACTTATATAGCGCTTTATCCAGTCTTTACGACCCCTCAAAGCGCTTTACGTACTACATGTCATTCACACCCCGTTGGCCATCGGGAGCAGCTCAGGGTTAAGTATCTCGCCCAAGGATGGCAGCCCCCACTCTCTGGAACGCTCTCCCTGCGGAGATCCACAACATCCCCACACTTGACGCCTTCAAAAGGGCCCTCAAGTCCCATCTGTCTGCCAAGGACTTCGGCCCCAAATCTATTTGTTGTTTTGTCTGACTGCCTTTTGTTATGTTATGTTTGTTTATACTCCTGTTCTTCCTTGTAAAGCGACCTTGGGTATTATGAAAGGCGCTATAGAAATCCAAGTTATTATTATTATTATTATTAAGGACACATCGACATGTTGACTTCATGGGCTGGGATCGAACCCACAACCTTCTGGTTGAAAGACGACCGCACTCCCTCGCAGCCACAGTCACCCTATGTACATTATGTCTTATGTATATTAGTATATATTATATACTATTTTAGATTCTCCTTGGCAAAACTACCGCAGCTATTGTGGATATGACAATAAAGACTGAATCTTTGAGACACATCATATCTCCTTAGCGGGCACCTGGTCCAGGGGAGGTTTATGTACTCGCGGTGCTCACTCATTCCTGCAAGCATTAAAAGGATGAATTAATCTATAAAGATTGTGTTTCATGCATGTGTTGCCTCACTCCTCCCTCTATAGACAGGGACGATACGATAACACTTTAATGTTCAGATCAAGTCTGAAATGCTCCTTGCATCACAGCCGCTCCATGTGTGACATCAACAGACAGATATCAAGACACAACACATGGAAAACAAACATTTAACATAACGGCACGATCAGTGAGAGAAAACCTGCTCAAAGAGCCTTCAGCGTGCTTTTGGCTGCGAGGGAGTGGGTTCGATCCCAGCCCATGCTGTCAACATGTCGATGTGTCCTTGGGCAAGATACTTAACCCTGAGCTGCTCCCGATGGCCAACGGGGTGTGAATGTTAGGTCCTAGAGTAAGGTACACTGCTCTGTATGAATGGGTGTGAACGGGTGAATGACATGTAGTATGTAAAGCGCTTTGAGGGGTCGTAAAGACTGGATAAAGCGATATATAAGTGCAGTCCATTTGATCTGGATTCAGCTCTGTATTTACTGAGAGGATCGACTGGAGCACAAAGGATGCTTCAGTCTGACTTTATTGAACCGAGGGACCCTGATTAAAAGTTTTGCCACGAGATAACAGAACGTTTTGAATAACCCCTCAGTGTGTTGTTGTGTGTGCTGCAGGTGTACAGCAGCATGGAGCACCTGTCTCAGCTGGAGCAGAAACACCCCGGGGTGACGCTCCGAGAACACAAAGTTCCCCGAGAGGACCGAGTGGCCAAGAGAGAGAGTCTGGGCAGCCTGACGCTGCGAGACAAGAGCTGGAGGACCGGCTCCCCGGAGATGTGAGTGCACTGTCACATTGAGAGGAAATGAGTCTGAGAAAGACTCCAGAAAAGACCTGTTTTTTGAGAGTGACTCAATTCCTCTAGGTCCCAATGCAAAGTATTGCAAAATGCATTATGAGTATGCGGACGGTGGAGTCATAACACTCTAACGGTACGTCCACACGGTTCCGTCGCGTTGAAGCAAGCCGGTGGGCGTGTCTGACGCGCGACCAACAACATGAATCTCCCGCCCCGGACACAGAAGCATGCGGTTTGATTGGCTAGCGCTTGTACTGGAGTCAAAAACGACCGCCATCTTGGCTATGTAAAGGAAATTGTGGGACCAGCCCAATACAAATATAATATATAGTTTTCTATGTTAAATACACGTACCACTATACTCATGTCAAAGAGAAGCTACCATTTATTTATCGAGTTAATTGAGCACTTTCTGTCTATCCTGTCAGATGTCTTTAATATCAAATACTTATACCTAAGTACGTCTGTTTTTCTCAGGAAGCATCTATCCTATCAAAGTATTTCTACAGTTTGGTATTAATACTTTAATCTGAGTACTTTCTCCACCTTGTGTTCATCAGGAAGCGTCTGTCCTGCTCCGAGTCGTCCTTCTATGAGAGCGACTCCAGCCCCCCCCTCAGGGGCTCGGAGGCGTTTCTCCGCTCTGATGGACTCCCACCGCCTGGCCTCGCCTCTGGAGACGGACTCTGAGCTGCCGCCGCCCAGCAGACTCTCTCTGAAGAACAGAGGGGCCTCTCTGGAGGGAGACCTGAGATCAGTCCTTAAAGACAGCAACGGGCTCACAGCGGCAGTCGGTGGGTGATGGAGATGTTTTTGTTTGTTTGTATGAGTGGGGATGTAATATTATTTGATGACAACCATTTTTCATATAGGTTCATTTTTTTTGCATTATTTGTTTTTTGTTTTTTTGGAGGATGTGAAATTCTGTCGTGTTGACATTTTGAATTGAGTGTATTCAAACATCTACATCTCAGTAAAAGTCAAATCACACAGAGAAGGGAGGAGGCTCCTGAATCCCGAATAAAAGACTCAGATCAAGATTGAAGTTTCAAACCTGTATTTGGGAGACCTGAGATCAGATCTTAGGATGTGAAACTTTCATGTTAAAATTCTGAATGTAGAGTATTCAAACCCATACTCAATCAGAAAAAAGTATAATATCGAGAAAGGAGGAGGCTCCTGATGTGATGCGATCAGGTCAGATCAGGTTGGAAGTTTTAAACCTGTATTCGATCACATTTTATATCGAGAGTGATTCATCGTTGGGTTTTATTTCTCACTGTACCGTTCAGATAAGGTTCTGAGACCTGCTGATGCTCCGCAGCCTCTCCCAGGCAGTAATGCTCCTGCTCTGGGTCTCCCGGACCTTCAGGGGCCTCGAGGGGCCGCCACTGACCTGGTGCTGAGGAGGGTCCGACACCACCAGCTCTCTGAGGGAGAGAAAAACAGCTCACGACCGGGAGCTAAAGTCATCAAATCTGCTTCTGCTACGGCTCTGTCCGTCATCATTCCTGCAGGTTAGCAATACATATGACACGTGCTATTAAAATGACTCTTCGAATCAGAGGTCGCGTTAACCGAATAATTTCCGTCTATGACGAATTTTTTTTAACAATGACGGAAAAATCTGAAAGCAGATTAGAACAAACTCGGAACAGCGCCAAAGTTTCCCCGCAGCGAGGCTCCGGTGTTATGCATGCCTGCCAAAAAGGAAATGATACCGTTTCCAAACCCAACTTTGCCGTACAAATCATTGAAACGTCTGTGAGTTTTGGCTTTACGCTGTGCGCCCTCCCGCGAGGTGCAGTGGGCATGCATAACACGGCGCTAACAGTTCACGAGCGTGCGCCCCGCCCCCCGTTGACAGTTCTCTCTCTCCCCCCCCCCTAGAGTGTAAAGGCCGACGGGTAATACTGAATTTTGACGGTCGTTTTACGATCAGTGAAAAAGTCTAGCGCAACCTCTGCTTCGAATAACCCTGAACATTTTGCACATACTGTACAAACACCACCTCACTGCATTTACATTTTAAAATTATTTTTTACAAAACTGCAACTGCTTAGCACACTTTTATATTGTATTCTATTATAAATATATATTTGTAGTAGTAGATTGGTCTATTTTAGAGAATCCTAACTTATTCTGTCTATGTGTGGTCTTTAGATAGTCTAGCAGTGCTTCTTAAAGTGTGGTCCGCGGACCACTGGTGGTCCGTGAGCGCCCCCGTGTGGTCCGTGAGTATATTGGTAACATTTCACATTTGAAATTAATTAATTAATTAAAGTTTTCCGCACTCTCGCGGGAATATCTCCGCAATGGAGCGAGCTTAAGTTTCACTTTCGATTGCATGATATAGCCCAGATAAACACCTCCATCACACATGTGGCCACTTGTTTGTACCATTTTCAGGCGATTTGCAAAAAACGATGTGTTTTTGGATATTTGTGGAGTTAGGTGGTCCGCGAGTGTTTTTTTATTGGTTAAGTGGTCCTTGGTATGAACAAGTCTGAGAAACACTGCTCTATAGCTATATATCTTTCTACTGTTGATATGTATATATGAACTGTTTATTTTGTATTAGATTTTCTTACTATTTGTATATTATTAGTTCATGTGCAATGCCTAATAACACATACTGTGACAAAAATGAAATAAATCTAATCTGATCTAAATCAGCCAAATTGACTCCAAAAACACTTTTGTGTTGTACGTTGTTTGAAAGAAAATATTATTTGTGTTCAACTATATCTCTATAGTTTTGTTCTCACAATATTAAGCCAATTATTTCACAAAACATAATGACTGCTACCGAGCCTTGATAATAAGAAACATGCCATCAAAGTTTGCAATCATTTAAAAAAAGAAATAGCCAACGTTTGTATTTTTTTCACAATGTATTCACTGTTGGAAAGCTTTGCAATTCTATTTGTATTGTGTTTGTTCTATAAATATTAGGCAAAATATATCGCATAACATATGACTGCTACCGAGCCACAATTATGAAAAAAAGGCCTTCACAGTCAATTTAGCCAAAGTTATTTAAGGAGGGGACAGAATACCCCTTCCCTTTTTAGAAATAAATCCTGTGATCTAACCTGATCTCCCTCCCTCTCTCTCCTCAGTGGAGCAGCACGTCCCCTCCCCCTTAGCGAGCCCCATGTCTCCTCGCTCCCTCTCCTCAAACCCCTCCTCCCGAGACTCCTCCCCCAGCAGAGATTACTCCCCCATGGTGAACGTGCAGCACTCCCCCATCATCATCCACCGGGCGGGGAAGAAGTACGGCTTCACCCTGAGAGCCATCAGAGTTTACATGGGAGACAGCGACGTGTTCAGCGTGCATCACATGGTCTGGGTAAGAGAGGAGGAGGAGCCATAATCAACTTTATTTATACATATACAGCTAAATGTGTGAGGGAAGCAGGATTTTGGGAGGGCAGACCGATGAAAAACAGGTTTATTAGAATGTAAAGTCACTTTTGGTAGGCTTTCAATTTGGAGACAAGCAGGAGGAATGCTAGCTTGACTCAGAAAAATATTCAGCTAGATGCAGAGTGAGATTAGTAGCATAAGTATTAGCATTAGTAGCATGAGAAAATGTTTCCCCACTCTCAGTGTTTCCGCCAGACCAGGGCTGAGAGGGCGCCCACCCCGAGAGCGCTGCCCACACTCTTTATACAGCTAATAGCAAACATTCAGTAATATACATACTTAATGTATTTACATATTATTTCCAGTGGATAAATGCAATCCTACTGACATAGTTGTCCATTTGTGTCTGTTTTAAAATTAACATCAACATTAGATCTTTATTCTCATTTCATTTTAAATACTTTAACTGTGTAGACATTTAAACTTTAAGATTTTGAATGTGGTTTCTTAAACAGCAACAGCCACTGGGTCATTAGGCACTAGCAGTATCTGCAGAGCTTTGAAACACAGTGTTGTAATTAGAGCTGTCAGTCGATTCAAATAGTTAATCGCGATTAATCGCAAATTAATCGCACATTTTGTATCTGTTCTAAATGTACCTTAGAGGGATATTTTTCAAGTTTTGAATACTCTTATCAACATATGAGTGGACAAATATGCTTTATGCTAATGTTTATTATCATTTGAACAATGACAAATATTCTCATGAATATTGAACACAACAACCTCAGAACATTAAAGTTTGCTGCTCGTAGACGTGTCCAGGCGTCTCCCCCGCACACTTTCAAGTGTGGTCTGCCGCAAGCGGGCGGCAGGAGCGGGGCTGTCGGCATCAGCAGTGTGCTTGGATTGTATAGATGGTATTTTAAACTAGATTTTTTTTTTTCATTATTAACGCGTTAACTTGACAGCCCTAGTTGTAATATATGGCTGAGCAGAAGCCTGTATGATTTATAAAAACTGAGCGGACCGAGTATAAAGCCCTGTGGAACACCATAGGTAATTGATTTTATAGTTTGTATTTAGTTATCAGCAAAATACTACGTTGGGCTGCATCATTTGGAAAAAATAACTTATTGTGATCGTATTAACTAATACTGCAATTACGATATTAAGGATTTTTTTATTTAGGTTGTAGAATACCATGATTTCTCTACAGCTCCACAATACTTCATTCAAATATGTTCACATATTTTGCCTTGAATATGTGCATACTGCGATTTGCATAAAGGCACTAGTCCATATTGGGATTTTGATGAAATTCCAATTAATTAGTAGTATCCAATGCAGCGCTGAGAGTTAATATATGTTTCTCTTTGTCTCACCAGCCCCATTAGATAAAATGCATTTCTGGTAAGTGTGTAAATGTGTTTCATGAAGTCCTTTTGTTCTAACCACAGCATGTTGAAGACGGAGGTCCGGCTCAGGAAGCTGGACTCAGCGCCGGTGATCTGATCACTCATGTGAACGGAGAGTCAGTCCACGGTCTGGTCCACACGGAGGTGGTGGAGCTCATCCTGAAGGTGAGGAACACACATCTAATCCTTATCTACTTAGATCAGAGGTGGGAAGTAGTGGAGTACAAATACTTCGTTACTGTACTTAAGTACATATTTCTGGTATCAGTACTTTACTCCACTACTTATTTTTTTTGGACGACTTTTTACTTTGACTTCTTACATTTTGAACTCAAATACCTGAACTTTCTACTTCTTACATGTTGAACTCAAATACCTGTACTTTCTACTTCTTACATGTTGAACTCAAATACCTGTACTTTCTACTTCTTACATTTTGAACACAAATACCTGTACTTTCTACTTCTTACACTTTGAACCCAAATACCTGTACTTTCTACTTCTTACACTTTGAACCCAAATACCTGTACTTTCTACTTCTTACATGTTGAACACAAATACCTGTACTTTCTACTTCTTACATGTTGAACTCAAATACCTGTACTTTCTACTTCTTACATGTTGAACTCAAATACCTGTACTTTCTACTTCTTACATGTTGAACACAAATACCTGTACTTTCTACTTCTTACATGTTGAACACAAATACCTGTACTTTCTACTTCTTACATGTTGAACTCAAATACCTGTACTTTCTACTTCTTACATGTTGAACACAAATACCTGTACTTTCTACTTCTTACATGTTGAACTCAAATACCTGTACTTTCTACTTCTTACATGTTGAACACAAATACCTGTACTTTCTACTTCTTACATGTTGAACACAAATACCTGTACTTTCTACTTCTTACATGTTGAACTCAAATACCTGTACTTTCTACTTCTTACATGTTGAACACAAATACCTGTACTTTCTACTTCTTACATGTTGAACTCAAATACCTGTACTTTCTACTTCTTACATGTTGAACACAAATACCTGTACTTTCTACTTCTTACATGTTGAACACAAATACCTGTACTTTCTACTTCTTACATGTTGAACTCAAATACCTGTACTTTCTACTTCTTACATGTTGAACACAAATACCTGTACTTTCTACTTCTTACATGTTGAACTCAAATACCTGTACTTTCTACTTCTTACATGTTGAACACAAATACCTGTACTTTCTACTTCTCACATGTTGAACTCAAATACCTGTACTTTCTACTTCTTACATGTTGAACTCAAATACCTGTACTTTCTACTTCTTACATGTTGAACCCAAATACCTGTACTTTCTACTTCTCACATGTTGAACTCAAATACCTGTACTTTCTACTTCTTACATGTTGAACTCAAATACCTGTACTTTCTACTTCTTACATGTTGAACTCAAATACCTGTACTTTCTACTTCTTACATGTTGAACACAAATACCTGTACTTTCTACTTCTCACATGTTGAACTCAAATACCTGAACTTTCTACTTCTTACATGTTGAACACAAATACCTGTACTTTCTACTTCTTACATGTTGAACTCAAATACCTGTACTTTCTACTTCTTACATGTTGAACTCAAATACCTGTACTTTCTACTTCTCTCATTTCCCAAACAGCTGGTTCCTTTAGTCTGAATGTGTGTTTGATGCGTGATCATTATTCTTTAGAGTCATTGCGTGCCTATTGATTTGAACACGATCCGTGTATCCATCATTTCCTGGTCTTCTCTAAAGAAGAGGGACCAATGGAAACGTTGTCATGTTGCCGTTGTTCAGCATGGAAACATTCATTAGCTAACAATGACATTATTGTTCTATTAATATAAAGGGAGGTCAGGTACTCTTTAAAACAGCTGCTAGTTATGGGTACTTTTTACTGAAGCACATTTCAAAGCCTCTTTACTTTCACTTAAGTAAAGAAGTTTAGTCAGTACTTCTACTTTCACCAGAGTATTTTTAAACACGAGTATCTGTACTTCTACTTGAGTAAAGGATGTGTGTACTTTTGCCATCTCTGCATTGAATGATTTTTACAAGACGGCTGAAATGAACGGTACTGATCAAATGATGTGGTTCATTTGTATGTAATCGTTAGAGTGGAAGCAAGGTGACGGTAACAACGACTCCATTCGAGAACACCTCCATCAAAGTGGGTCCTGCTCGCAAGTCCAGCTATAAATCCAAGATGGCGCGGCGAAGCAAGAGGACGGGAGCCAAGGAGGGGCAAGAGTGCGTTACTGCAATGCTTTTTATTAGAATACATAATTGTTTCATTTATTAGCTTATTTATTATTTTTATGTATTTATTTTTATGTTTTTATTATTTGCCAATTTTTTTTTTTTAAATGTACTATTTTTTATCCTCTGACTTGATTTTAGTTAATTATTTTCAGTTTGATTATTTAATCTTTCATACCTTAATTCCTCTCAACAAGTCATATCTGTTTGTCTCTCAGGAAGAAGCGCAGCTCTCTGTTCAGGAAGATCACCAAACAGTCGAACCTGCTCCACACCAGCCGCAGCCTCTCCTCTCTGAACCGCTCTCTGTCCTCTGGAGACAGTCTGCCCGGCTCCCCGACCCACAGCCTCTCCGCCCGGTCCCCCACCCAGAGTTACCGCTCCAACCTCACCGAACCCCCCTACCTGGGTCAGTAGTCAAAGTCAACTTTATTGTCAATCTTTCAGTTTGTGTGTACAGACAGAGATCGAAATACCATTTCCCACAATCCCGAATACAAAACATACAAATATATATAAAAATATGTATATACCTATATATATATATATATATATATATATATATATAGGTATATTAGGGCTGTCAGTCGATTAAAATAGTTAATCGCGATTAATCGCAAATTAATCGCACATTTTGATCTGTTCTAAATGTACCTTAGAGGAATATTTTTCAAGTTTTTAATACTCTTATCAACATATGAGTGTACAAATATGCTTTATGCTAATGTTATTTATCAGTTTCAACAATGACAAATATTCTCATGAATATTAAAACAAAAACTCTGAACATCTATCATTCAATAATACAATACAAATGGTGTGTGTGTTGGTGGTGTGGTGTGTTTGATGTGTGTGTGTGTGTGTGTGGTGTGTGTGTGTGTGTGTGTGTGTGTGTGTGTGTGTGTGTGTGTGTTGTGTGTGTGTGTGTGTGTGTGTGTGTGTGTGTGTGTGTGTGTGTGTGTGTGTGTGTGGTGTGTGTGTGTGTGTGTGTGTGTGTGTGTGTGTGTGTGTGTGTGTGTGTGTGTGTGTGTGATGGATCGTTGGAGCTATGTGCAACTCAAGGCATATGCTCGAACGGGAGCTGCCTGGACGCTGCAATCATGTTGCGCACTATCCTTGCTGAGTGTGCTGACTTCTCGTACAATGTCCCACTGTCTGGCTTCCTGCATAAAGTCAAGTGCTCGGCGCAGTTGTGGCGAAATGTCGCTCCTCTGTTTTCATTTAAACAGCTCCTTATATCCGTTAGCGCAGCTAGCTAGCACCAGATGCTAACAACAACAATGCACGTAAGGTCTCTCTCTCTCTCTTGCGCCACACACACACCCTCCCGGTCCTCCCGATGGCCAGTCGGTGCCTGCCGGTGAGCGTGGAAGTGTGGTCTGCCACAAGCGGGCGGCAGGAGCGGGGCAGTCAGCATCAGCTTGTAGATGGTATTTGAAACTCGATGCGCTCTGAAACTACGGGGCGGCCGAGGACAACAAATACACATGCGTTAATCGCGTTAAAATAATTAGTGATGTTAATTTTTTTTACGTTAACGCGTTAACTTGACAGCCCTAATATATATATATATATACACAGGGGTGCACATAACTGTCACTTGTCTCACTAAGCGCATTTGCGTACCGGCGGACTTGTGAAGCATTTCCACTGGACGACAGAGCCGGTCGCCGTGCGCACAGACAGGGCTGCTGGTAACGTCGGTGTACGGAATTGTGCCACAACTACCGGCGCGAGTTCAACGCGCGTGCTCCACTAGCGCCCATCCCTCCCGTCGACGTTCAATACCACACCCCCACCGACACACACCCCCCTGTCGACGACGTTCGCGAAACAGAGGGGCTGAACACATAACCTTGCATGGGCAGCCCTGAGTACCAAACATTGTCTCCTGGTACTAATTTGAGTAACTCACTAAGAAAGTTGTGTGCACCCCAATACATATACACAATCAACAGACACATTTTGTGTAAATATGTCTGTTGATTGTCTGTATTTAGGTACATATGCTCACATTAAGACCTAAATCAAAGCACAACAATCAATATTTACAAAATAACAGTCACTTCAATATCTTTGAGAATGTACATTAGTGCAAGACTGTCCATAGCAGCGTAAAAAACGTGTCTGGTGCTGGATTTGGATTTCTTTCTTGTAACAATGCTTCTTGGCAATGAATCTTTTACCATTGGAAAGCCTGTTTTGTTATACCTTAAAAATGTTGTGAGGAACAAGCATTTGTGGGATGGAGTATTGCCAAAAAGCATTGATGCAACAAAGAAGTAGTCTACCAAACACACACGTCCTTACTTTTTGTGTTAAGTTCAGAACACATCCAGTCACGGCACAGTACAGTAGGCCGGTGTTTCTGTTAGCCAATGAAAATCTGTTGAATGTAAATATATATATTTCTTTGTCTGTTGACGGCATTTTTTTAATTGTATTTATTATGTATTGATGTCATGCTTTATATAGCCTCACCATCAACATTTTGGTAGCTCAAAAATAAACACAGATAATATTTGAGCGGAATTGCTACTATTCAGCCGGGACTTTGAAATGTATATAGAATAAACATATATAGAGGTATATCATGACATATAGAGATATACAAAGATACGTTAAGTTATACAGGGGTATTTACAGGTACAAAAGTGTGTATGAATGTGTATATAAAGTTATATATGAAGGTATATTTAGTTGTTTAGAGGTAAGTCGATTAAGTCGATAAGTCGGTTTATCGAGGTATATAAAAGCATAATACGTTACACAGAGGTATTTAAAGGCATATTCGGGATGTTGTTCATTGCAGCAAAGTCCTTTTTTCTCTATGACAGTAAGTGATTATTATTTTATAACCGTTATTCCCTCTCTCCCCCCTCAGGCACCTCCTCTCAGAGCAGCTCTCCGGCCTCCAGCACCCCCAACTCCCCCGCCTCCGCCTCCGCCGCCTCCTCCTCCTCCCACCACATGAGACCCAGCTCGCTGCACGGCCTCTCCCCTAAACTGCACCGCCAGTACCGCTCCGCTCGCTGTAAATCAGCCGGAAACATCCCTCTCTCCCCCCTGGCTCACACGCCCTCCCCCACTACCTCCTCTCCTCCCCCTCTCTCTGGTCACACGGTGGGAAGCTCCAACACAACGCAGACTTTTCCCGCAAAACTTCACTCCTCTCCTCCCGTTTCTCGCCCTCGACCGAAAAGCGCCGAGCCGCCGCGATCCCCTCTCCTGCAGCGGGTGCAATCGGTGGAAAAACTCGGGGCAAATCTACCTTCCTCCTCCTCATCGTCATCCTCGCCTTCCCCTCTTACAGGCGGGGTTTCGTTGCGTAAACACAGCCTGGAGGTGGCGCACGGCGACTACAGAAGAGACTCTTTTCACTGCGAACACAGCCTGCAGAGTCTGCTAGAAATGGAGGGAGAGAACGGACCAGCTCCACCTTCACCTTCATCGTCTTCCTCACCTTCTCCTCCCATGGAGATCGGAGGGCCGAAGCCCATCAGGAGGATGGGGAGGCAGGAGTCTCCGCTGAGTCGGGGACACTCTCATCCCGTCGAGAGACACTAGGGAGAGTGTTGTGAGTAAAATATCAAACGCTGAGGTGTTGAAGAAAAGTGACGCAGCGGAAAAGTCAAATCTAGCTGCGGAGGAGAAGCAGAACCCGGGGGAGAAGGCTCCAAAAAGTGCTGAGTCGGCGGACTCTAAGGGTAGGGATGAGAAAAATGCAACTTCAAAGGGTGTGCAACAACAAGACAGTAAGCAGCAGACAGACAGTGGAGCTGTGGCTAAAGCTCAGGAGGAGAAAGGGAACGTTCAGAAAGCTGCCGAGCAACCGAAGCTACCAAAAGGCTCAGAAAGCGGCGAAAAAGCTGCGGAAACGGTCAAAACTAAAGCACCCGCTCCACCGATTCCCACCCAGGCTCCTCTCAGATCTAAAGTGTCCAACAGCTACCGGGGGGGCAAGGAGGAGAGGGCGCACCTGGAGGTCCTGGAGGAGAATCCCACCTCCCCCTCCTCCCCCTCTTCTAACAAACCCCGCCCCATGTCTCCCGGCGAGAAAGCCAGTTTCGTCACTCAGCTCACCACCGTGGCCAAAACCGTGCTGAAGGGGGGGGCGCAGGAGGGGGTGAGAGCGAAAGATAACGTGATGAAGACGAGCGAGGAGAAGAAGGGGAACGTGGGGAAGGCAGAGGGGGCGTCTGCGGGGGGGCGAAGGGGGGGGCAGGCGTCTGTGAACATGGCCGACAGAGGAAACATTCGCAGCTCCAAACATCACTCGTGATAAAAGGAGACGCCCATATATGGAGGTAGATCTGAGCAATGGGGTTTGTGTGCGCAGAGAGACAACTTGCTAACTCACGAACAGATCTGCATATTAACAAATGACAAACAACAAGGTATCGTTTAATTTTGACTACACTGTAAATAAAATCCATTAAAAGTAGAAAACCTTCATTGAGGATTTAAATTATAACTAAACATCAGCAGGAGAGGACTCTTTAAAGTAGAGACACTACATACTGATATACACCTGAACATCAGCAGGAGAGGACTCTTTAAAGTAGAGACACTACATACTGATATACACCTGAACATCAGCAGGAGAGGACTCTTTAAAGTAGAGACACTACATACTGATATACACCTGAACATCAGCAGGAGAGGACTCTTTAAAGTAGAGACACTACATACTGATATACACCTGAACATCAGCAGGAGAGGACTCTTTAAAGTAGAGACACTACATACTGATATACACCTGAACATCAGCAGGAGAGGACTCTTTAAAGTAGAGACACTACATACTGATATACACCTGAACATCAGCAGGAGAGGACTCTTTAAAGTAGAGACACTACATACTGATATACACCTGACCATCAGCAGGAGAGGACTCTTTAAAGTAGAGACACTACACACTGATATACACCTGAACATCAGCAGGAGAGGACTCTTTAAAGTAGAGACACTACACACTGATATACACCTGAACATCAGCAGGAGAGGACTCTTTAAAGTAGAGACTCTACTAAAAGTAAAGATTGGTCCCGACTTGTATCTAAGCACTGATTGGCTCATGTCTCTCCTGCTGTCGACGTGGATTCTGAAAATAGCAGCATGGTATCTCTGTTCACACACACAGCATTGAGACAGATCCCCTCCATAGTGCCTTCTACTGTAGCATCACTCTGACATATCAATTAACTCTGAGTGGAGGCGGAGAAACAGAAACGCCTGAAAACCAAATAGCCGACTCGTGAAGAAGCGTCGGCCATGTTGGATCCTACTGTAGGCCTGTGTGTGTTCAATGTGTCGTTTAAATATATATAGAGGAAACAATGCATACGTCTCAATGCATGTCTGACACTGTACATGGAAAACGATGGAATATTTAAAAAGAAAAAGCAGACCTTCAGGTGGAGAACACTGTGAACAACTCTTCAAACTGTTAGCAGGTTACGTTATTAACCTAAGGCATTTATCATATTTCATTCATTTAGTCCAGATTTTAAAGGAACAACACACTGTTTTTAAAAGAGTTTAGGTTCTGTAATGAATAACTTGACAACATGTAAAGCTTTTTTCTTTATTACATTAGCTGACTCCATAATAACACCCGCATTTACTAATAAACCGCTTTATTTACAGCTAAATGCAATATATAATGCATTTCCCCCCATTTTCTAATACATTCTTATATATTTAAGTTGTTTTTACATTATGCAGGAGATGTAAAAACACACCAAAATAGATTCCTTAATCTTAAAGTTAAGGAATTAAGTGACACTCAATGTATTTTTTTAGGCACCCAGTGATAAGTATTGATATATATATATATTAGTATTAGTATATATGATATACATAAAATAAACATTAAGATGAGAGAAACACCTACGTCACTTCTGGGCGAAAAGTACGGCCCCGCCCACTTTTGGGGGAAAACAACGCTGTCATTTGAACGGCGGTCGATGCAAATTCTGAAGTTTTTGCCAATCCGATCAGAAATGTTTGAAAACCGTGGATTGTCTGATCTTCAAAGAGCCCGGTTACGATGACCAGACAGGCAAACAATTACATTCAATCATTTGAAATCGACGATCGGGCTCGATATATGGTTAAATTAAAATCAGTAGGCGAGGCTGTAATTTCTCCAGCTGTTACTCTCATGAGCGAGGCAGAAAATAATAGTTTTATCACAAATCCAGAGTTCAGTGTTTCTGGACTTCCTCTAAGAAGAAAGGACGGTAACAGAAGAGCTCTGTGGCTTCAGGCTCGATCGCCATTCAAATGACAGCGTTGTTTCCCCCAAAAGTGGGCGGGGCCATACAGTGACGTAGATGTTACTCTCATCTGTGGACATCGATCGCCTACTGATTTTAATTTAACCATATATCGAGCCCGATCGTCCATTTCCAAAGATTGAATGTAATTGTTTGCCTCACTGGTCATCGTAACCGGGCTCTTTGAAGATCAGACAATCCACGGTTTTCTTACATTTCTGATCGGATTGGCAAAAACTTCAGAATTTGTATCGACCGCCGTTCAAATGACGGCATTGTTTTCCCCCAAAAGTGGGCGTACTTTTTGCCCGGAAGTGACGTAGGTGTTACTCTCATGTCTCACAGGATTTTTATGATTGAACGTTTACATTTGATTATATTAGTATATCCTACAGAACTGCATCACTTTTCTCCTTAAATATATCTATAATTGTAGATTTTGTTTACATAATACAGGATTTATGACATTTTCATTCAAATGAACACTGAATATTAAATTATTCATATTTAATTAAACAGTGGGGAAATGTTTTACATGTTGCCGTGCGGTTGGATATAAGGGCGGCACAATTAAACTCCATTTTATAGAGTAATACTAAAATAAAATAATGTTTGTAAAAACGTAATAAAACGTCCTTATTTGGTACAAATCACACTTGGAGCATTTTCATATATTTTTTATGTGAAAAATGTTTTCAAAATGTGCAATTCCCTCAAATATCCAATATATTTCATTATGTTTTCCATATTGTGCAGCCCTTATATTTACTGACACGTCTTGTGTAGTTAAATAATGGATATCTTAAAGGTCACCTATTATGCAAAATCCTCTTCTTCATGTCTCTTCTACATCAACATGTGTCCCCTCTTCTCCATGTCTCTTCTACATCAACATGTGTCCCCTCTTCTTCATGTCTCTTCTACATCAACATGTGTCCCCTCTTCTTCATGTCTCTTTCTACATCAACATGTGTCCCCTCTTCTTCATGTCTCTTCTACATCAACATGTGTCCCCTCTTCTTCATGTCTCTTCTACATCAACATGTGTCCCCTCTTCTTCATGTCTCTTCTACATCAACATGTGTCCCCTCTTCTTCATGTCTCTTCTACATCAACATGTGTCCCCTCTTCTTCATGTCTCTTCTACATCAACATGTGTCCCCTCTTCTTCATGTCTCTTCTACATCAACATGTGTCCCCTCTTCTTCATGTCTCTTCTACATCAACATGTGTCCCCTCTTCTTCATGTCTCTTCTACATCAACATGTGTCCCCTCTTCTCATGTCTCTTCTACATCAACATGTGTCCCCTCTTCTTCATGTCTCTTCTACATCAACATGTGTCCCTCTTCTTCATGTCTCTTCTACATCAACATGTGTCCCCTCTTCTTCATGTCTCTTCTACATCAACATGTGTCCCCTCTTCTTCATGTCTCTTCTACATCAACATGTGTCCCCTCTTCTTCATGTCTCTTCTACATCAACATGTGTCCCCTCTTCTTCATGTCTCTTCTACATCAACATGTGTCCCCTCTTCTTCATGTCTCTTCTACATCAACATGTGTCCCCTCTTCTTCATGTCTCTTCTACATCAACATGTGTCCCCTCTTCTTCATGTCTCTTCTACATCAACATGTGTCCCCTCTTCTTCATGTCTCTTCTACATCAACATGTGTCCCCCTCTTCTTCATGTCTCTTCTACATCAACATGTGTCCCCTCTTCTTCATGTCTCTTCTACATCAACATGTGTCCCCCTCTCTTCATGTCTCTTCTACATCAACATGTGTCCCCTCTTCTTCATGTCTCTTCTACATCAACATATGTCCCCTCCTTATTTTCATCTAAAGTAACAGACAGAGAATCAGCACTTTGGAAACAGGGCTGAAACAGAGGGGATTATGGGTAATGCTGCAATGATCTGTTTGGTGTTTCAGCCAATCAGAGACATGTTCTGTATAAATCTGAGAGCTGTGATATATTGATGAAAAACAGTAGAATACGGGACCTTTAAAATCGGTAGACTTATTATAAAGCCATTTGGAAAAAGTAGACTGCGCTCAAAAGGTTGATCCCTTATTAATGATATTTAAAATCACAATTTCTTATTTTGTCCGAATGATGGTGCGCTGCTATCTCTTACAAAATGTGGGTGTTATTACATTACAAGTGGAAATGCTTTACAAGTTGTCGAGTTATCACACAGAGTCTCGATGTAGGAAGGAATTCATCACGTAAACTGGACCAAGAAACCAAAAGATGGAAGCGATGGAACTAAGGGCTGAATATAAGTGAAAATGAACGAGGAACATTTGATAAACTTGCACAGGGACGCTTAGCAACGAGCTAACAATGCTAATGTCTTAGTGGGTGTTTCTCAATGTCGAAGACGCTTGCTTGGTAGGACATGTCCCTCCGAGTCAGCAGGTCCTTCAGAAGCGAGGCAAGAATCCTTCCTAGCCTCGGAAAACGAAGAAAGAACAGGTGTGCGTCATGTGCGAGGCCCCGCCTTAAATGGAGCGCGATTTCTGCCAAAGATTTGTGGAAATTGGTCCGTGCGCAAAGCATTGTGGGGATTTTAAGACAGCGGAGGATACACATGTGCAGCCTCGAAATTTCCCGCAACGAAGGATTCAGTCCTCGGTAGATTTCTAGACATTGGAACAGTCCTTCGGCGGGACTCGAAGACGTAGTATGCTTGAAAAAGTGGCTCTGGAGCAGCCTTCCGGGGTGTTTCTCAATGTCGAGGAAGGCTGCTCCAGAGCATCGTCATCGAGTGCCGCCGAAGGACTGTTCCAATGTCCAGGATCCTTGGAATTCTACCGAGGCCGACGTCCTTCGTTGCGGGAAATGTTGAGGCTGCACATGTGTATCCTCCGCGGTCTTAAAATCCCCACAATGCTTTGCGCATGGACCAATTTCCCAAATCTTTGGCGGAAATCGCTCCATTTAAGGCGGGGCCTCGAATATGACGCACACCTGTTAGCCTGTTCCACCATTCTTCGTTTTCCGAGGCTAGGAAGGATTCTTGCCTCGCTTCTGAAGGACCTGCTGACTCGGAGGGACATGTCCTACCAAGGAAGCGTCCTCGACATTGAGAAACACCCTCAGCGTCCCCGATTACTGAGTTTACAGTGAAGAAGAAGAAGAAGAAAAAGGGTTGCA